TTTATGTTTTTTCGGCCAAAATTGGCCGGCAATTTGGCCCGGAGGACCAAATTTGCCAATTTTTGCATAGTTAAAGGTCTAAATTGGGAGTTTTGAAAGTCACGTATTCAAATTGTTAGTACCTTAATACTCACAGGACCAAAAGTGCAATTTGTTCTATTAATTTTATAGTGTTATTGGAACGACTAAGCCTGATTCTTGTACTTGTTAGGTTCCTCCCTCATATGAGATTTTTATTTTATTTTACTTTTTATGGAGTGATTAAATTTTTAAAATGTATTTAAAGTTTAGAATATATGATCTATCACTTTCAAAAAAAAAGAATATATGATCTATCAAAAGCGTTGAAAAATTTAACTAAAAAATTGATTAGACGGTAAAACAGGCATGAAATATTGAGATTGATTACCCAAAATGTTTCACAACACTAGAATCAATTAGGGTATGTTGTAAACGAAGATCTCTAATCTTTGTTTTAATGATTTTTAAATATTTGAGAATTTAAATTTTTCATTGAAAGATTAATAGATCAATTAGTATGTAAGTTGGATTGTCCCATCTCACTGGATATAAGTGCCAACAGGCTACAAGCAATATGATTAATAAGTAAATTCATAATTTTCAACGGAACAGGACTGAAGTGAAAAAAACTATGAGGATCATATATATATATAGCCCTCTAGCTACGAGGCTTCTTCCGGAGCATTTTGTTTTGAATGAGGATGAGGAGGAGCAGATTATGCAACTTTTGGAAATTTGTTCGAGTACAAGCAACTCAGCTTCCATGTCACTGCCATTCACAAAAATCACAATCGAGTAATTAATGAAATTGTTGGGTGAGGTTAGTGAAGGACCAAGTCCAACATCCTACCTTTAATTTTGAAAATATGACTGAATAAGAAAATAAAGCCGTGTTTTTTCTACTAGCTATACCTTTTGGCATAATGGTAAATGATTATCTAAAAGAAGCTATGGACGAGGACAGTTGTGGACAGTCGGTGTTTATTTTCTTCATGGTGTCGGACGGCCGCGGAAAAGTGGGTGTCTTTTTTTTTTTTTTAAATAATTTTTAATAAATAAATAATTGTTTTAAAAAATAAATTTAAAAAACATGTGTCAACACCGCAAAGATTTAACCTGCTAAACAAGTCAATTTGGACTTAATTGAACAATTTTACTGATTTAGGGGATTTGAATGAAACTTTTTATACTTAAGCAAATCTAATTACACTATCCAGTTGACATAGTGGTCAATTGGACCCTTTTTCCTAATTTATATTATGTAAATTCAGTACACAAATAATATATTTTTAATATATATTAAAAATATATTTTTTTTATGGTCCAGGACCATGCATCTTGAAAATGTGCCATAGCAAAACATTTATTTTTGGGTTTGGTGAGAAATTATTTATCTGAGAAACTTACTCATAGCGTGTGTCACTCTTCTCCCATATGAGGAAACGAATCTTGTAGGCTTGACGATTTTGGCCGGTCCACAAGCATATCCTCCGCCGCTCCCCGGCGCTTCAAAGGTGAAATTCTTGGGCAGGCTAACTGTTTTATTGGTGTTTCCGGCTTGCCCGACAGAGAGTTGGAATTCACTCACGGAGGCTCTAGATCCATTCCTGCCCCACGAGCTAAGCACCCCTCCTTTGCAGCAGTTTTCTATCTGTTGGTTGTAGGGAGTACCGGACAGCAAGTCCACAACTTCCGGAGTCCTCCTACAGGAATGTGGGATGTTTCCTTTGAATCTGGAACAATCTCCTTGCATTGTTGTTTGAGCTCCCATCATGGTCCATATCACCTCGTACTTTGCCCATCTCCATCCCAATGTCCAACCTGGTTCTCGGATCTTCCTCAACCTCTGATAGTTGTATATGGTCACAATCGCCTGTCACATTTCACAATTGCAATCAATGATGTAGAAGAGCCTAGGCATTAGTCGGGCACTCGGGAATGTCTAGCGCTTAGGAAGACGAGTAATAATATTAAGAAAAACACGACAGTGTACACCCAAAAAAATATATATAAAGCACTCATGTCGAGATAGGCGCTGAGTTAGCAACTCAAGCGCCTAGTCGGGAGCTAAGTTTGACCAACTCAGATATCAAGTTGTCGATTCGGGCGCCTAACCAGTTGACTAATGTCTGCCTAAGAGTAAGATCTCCTTAGCCTTGGCAGAAATTACAACCGTGATTGAAATACAAGATGATCAGTTGATGACAAACATGAGGAAATGAAAACAAATCTTTAGATTCACTCGAGAAAATTGAAAAAAAAAATAAAATATTGTCTGTCTCAACTAAAATATTAAACTGATCGGATATGCTTAACAGAAAAAATGTAGATGAGCTTACAACGTAACCATCAGCTGTCCAGAAGATGACATCCCAGTTTATGGTGATGTTTCCACCATGGTTAAGATCATGACTGGCAGCATCTGGAAGAGATCCAAAAGGGGGGAAATGTCAAAAGGGAAATAAAATTGAAAGTACACAAATAAGAATTGAAGATTATAGCTAGTGCATTGCACATTACAGTAGAAATAAAGTAATTACAATTACCAGCAAATGAGAAGCTGAAGCAGCAAGTGAAGAAGGCCAGCACTAGCAGAAGTAGTATAGACCTGGAAAAGCCCATCTCCAAACTTAGAAAATGAATTGAAATTATTGGCAAATGGCAACACCTTCTTTAAAGACTTCATATTGTTGACTTAGTCCACGGAGCTGTCATAGTCCATGGTCCACATAATAATGATTGGGTCCTGGGCAAATTATTGTATGGACCATGGTCCACACAATGTTATGTGGACCATAACAAAAAGTACATTTTTAATATACTAAATGTACATTATTTTTGTACTGAATGTACATTATATAATATAATATACACTCAGAACAAAAATAATGTATATCCCCTGTATGCAATATACATTATTTTTGTATTGAATGTACATTATTTTTGTACTGAATGTACATTATTTTGTAGTAGACAAAATATAGTCCATATAACTTGTGTGGACCATGGTCCACACAATAATGATTGCAGGTCCTGGGGCATGAACTGTAATTTTAGAATTTGTGTTATTGTTTAAGTCAAACATGAGGGCGGGGTGGCAAGAAAGTAACCCTTAGGGGGTGTTTGGTTCAGGTCATCTTAGATTACCTAGGTAATATGAGTCTGGTAATGTTATATTACCTTGTTTGGTTCAAGTTATGAGATTACCAGGTAATGTTATATTACCTCAAAGCTGATGTGGCGGTAATGTTTCAAGGTAATGTGATTACCCCCATTTTTTTAGGTAATCTTAGATTACCTTGAATTATTCCAACTTTGCCCTTGTTAATTAATCCTTATATAATAATAATAATAATAATAATAATAATAATAATAATAATAATAATAATAATAATAATATATGTTTATATAATCAAATATACATATGTGTATATTTATATATTTAGTTTTTTTAAATATTTAAGCTTTGATATACATTCATAGATATAAATAAATGCACACATAATATATATATATATATATATATATATATATATATATATATATATATATATATATATATTATTGAGGGCATTATTGTAAATTGATCCATATAATCTAAAATATAACCCTGAACCAAACAAGGTAATATTATATTACACCATCCAAACCAAACACACAAGGTAATCTTACATTCCCAAAATCTCACATTACCTTCTCGGAGGTAATCCTATTACCTGGGGTAATCCAAGATTCCGTGAACCAAACGCCCCCTTAAAGTGAAATTTGTTACAAAAGATCAAAAGTTAAATCTTACGAGAGTAATATTTAACATCCTTTTGACAGATTAACAAACGGAGGACAATATTGAGCGATATTACAAAAGTCTGAGACTATTTTATGACACCAAAGTCGTTTAGGACAAAATTGAGAAAAATCACTATAGTCGAGAATAATTTTGGGTATTAACTCATTTTATTTGGGTTAAAACGCTATTTAATTCCAATTTTTATTAAAGTATTTGGATCAACTATATTTTAAGAAAGGGTCAAATTAAATTTGTGAATAGGTGAGACGGGTCATGTCAATATGAAAATGTATTACTGATAAGAAATAAAATGTTTGTTCCTTATAAAGGGAAGTGTAATACTTTTACATTTTAACGTTGGCAAGTGTTTCTTATTTATAAGAGAAAATATAATACTTAGAAAAAAAATGCAATACTTTTAAATCAAAATATAAAAGTGTTACGCTTTTCTTCAAAAATATTTCATTTTTTCATATAATACTTTATTCCTTATTAGTCTTACATTTTTCAGTATAAGTATTATATTTTCATTTTGAGATAGTGTGACACAAGATTTTGACTTTAAGAAATAATGCATTGGAGATAGATTAATTTAATTAATTACTATGTACATAAATTGCATATTTGATTTATGGAATAAATCTACAATGAGACAATGAATTAATAAATAATACCATGTTATGTGTGAACACTATGAGAAAAAAATCACATATCACTTAATATACTTCAATAAAATATTTAATGTAAAAAAATTAATAGTGATATCAATTTGTAATTTTAAATTATGCCATAAGTTAAATCCAATCCCTTAGATATAAACCCCCCAAAAAAGCAAATAAAAATATAAATCTATCCTTTTTTAATTTACTCAAAAATCAAAATGAATAAATGATATATACTCTTCAAGAGCTAGTCAAATGTTATTTAATCAATTAAATATGTTAGAGGCCTTATACTGTGGATCACAATCCATTGTACAAAGTAAACTACTAACATAAAATTTATTTTTTATATATTGAAGATTTATTTTAAGTATATTATTTTAAATCTAATTTTCAGTACGATAAAATGAATCTTTAGTATATTAAAAATAAATAGGATATAATTTGCCAACACGATGAACCTCCAGTGCAACTCTTCAAATTTTGGAAGCAATGGGGTATAAATACTCGGCGAACGGTCGGAGCCGTTCTTTCAACGAAAACTGGAAAAGTCAACCAAAATTTCTCATAGAGTCGCACGGCACGGCTCCATTGTGCTTCCGCTCCAAGAAACCTGTAATTCGAATATTCCTACTTCTAATTAGCAGTCGACTCTTTAGATTTCGATTTTGAGGAAATTGTTTGAAAATCCTTTTTCATTTCCTTAATTTTGGGAACCCTTAAGTTTGAGAGTAGAAAAAGTTTTTGGATTTTGTACTTGCTGAATTGGCGTTTCTCCCTAATGGACGTAAATGCTCGATCTAGCCCAAGTTTCCAAACCGAGATTAATTGGGACAAGTAAGAATCCCTTAGATTTTTTCTTTTGTTTTGTTTCATACTACTATCTCTTCAATTCTGTATGCCAATCGTAGAGAAAATGCCATGATTTTATTGATTTGGATTGATGAAGTGTTTAATTATGGAAATAATCTATTTTGCTGTTTCCTTTTGCAGCTTAATCACTGTTATGTTATGAAGTTATCATTATTCGCACTCTTTGTTAAATTTTGCAGCTGAATTCTGATTTCTTGTAGATTTTTTAGATTTGTTCATATTACCCACCTTTCCTGCAGGCTTGATAAAACTAAGTTTTATCTGGTAGGAGCTGGGATATTTTCTGGGCTCACGGTTGCCCTATATCCCATTTCAGTTGTCAAGACAAGATTGCAGGTGGCTGACCATTATGCTGCAGAAAAGAATGCGTTTTCAGTCTTCAGGGGAATCTTAAGAACGGATGGGATTCCCGGTTTATATAGAGGTTTTGCCACAGTTGTTACGGGTACGATTCCTGTAAGGATTATATATCTGACAGCATTGGAGACAACCAAAGTAGCTGCCTTAAAGATGGTTGAACCATTCAAGTTGTCAGAACCAGCTCAGGCAGCCATAGCAAATGGTGCAGGTGGATTGGTGGCATCGCTTTGTTCACAGTCTGTTTTTGTCCCGATTGATGTGGTATGCTGTTCTTGTCCTAGCGTTTTACTTGTCAGGATACTGAATTGAATTCCATATTGCGTTGACTTTCAAATGATCAACTTAATGATTAATTGGATTGGGTTTTGCAATCGTATTCATATGTGCATTTGTCAATCCTTACTTCTATTGTCTCTTGAACTGATGTTGGCTTTATGGACTTATCAAAGATATATTTAACAGTCAATGTATATCGTTTTTTGGCTTTGATTGGCTTCATTTATGCTGCATGTGAATATGTTGGATCATTCTTTGCTAAATGAATTTCGTTGACATTATGGGAGTAACTTATCAAATTGGATGATGAAGGTTAGCCAAAGGTTAATGGTGCAAGGATACTCAGGCCATGCTAACTACAGTGGGGGCTTTGATGTTGCTCGTAAAATTCTGAAGTCCGAAGGCATTCGTGGCTTATATAGGGGATTCGGTCTCTCTGCTATAACTTATGCCCCGTCAGGTGCAGTTTGGTGGGGAAGCTATGGCGCAAGCCAGCGCTTCATATGGAGGTGAGACATGCGTTCTCATTTCATATAGATGTATTGAAGTACATTTTCCGAGTATACCTTTTCTTTCTCTTCATTTCTTGCATACCTCTAGATTAAGGAATAACGGCTTCTTTTCTGCTAGATGTAGTCCTTTGCAATCTATACTTATGATAGGAAACTGTTTCATGTGTCAGTGTTATAATTTGTTTCTACCAGGCACCTGTTTGGGAGTGATCAAAGTCAACATGCTCCGACTGAGGGAATGATAGTGGCTGTTCAGGCTGGTGGTGGAATTATTGCTGGTGCTACTGCATCTTGTATCACTACTCCGTTTGACACTATTAAGACACGTTTACAGGTATCGAGGAACTTATCTTGCAAGCTATTATCATTACAGAATAAAAGGTTCTTGCTAGGATTAACATTGCAATGACATATTATGTATGCTGTTCTGACATTATTAAGACCCATCTTAACTTATTATGCAAATTCTTTTTGTTACGGAATAAATTATCGTTTTGAGATTACCTTTGCAATGACACTGTAAACCATACTGTTATAGACTATAGTGCAGTGCAGTATAAATTAGACGAACTTATACTCTCTAATGCCAGCTTGTATGCTTTCTCTCATCAGACTTTGTTGTTTTTTAGTCATATCTTTCCTTTGTTTTGTGGGCCAAGGTTGCAGAAGGCGCTAGGCGTTAGTTGGGTGGCCGGGGGGCACCAAGCGCCTAGGGCGCAGCCTAGGCGGCTGAGTAAAATAATACGGAGTAATAATAATAATTTGTAGCCGCCCTAAACCCTAAAAAAAAAAAACACTCGGCTGAGTTGGGCGCCTAGTTAGGCAGCCGACTAAAAGGCGCCTAGGGGTGAAATCTCCTCCGCCTAGGGCGCCTAGGCCGATTTTTACAACAGTATTGTGGGCATGAAGTGGTTAGTTGTGCATTAGATATTTGCTGATTGTACACATTCCATCATTCTCCATTGTTTGTTCTCACTTTCTATTTAATGGCGGGGAAGAAAGGGAGACAATTTAGAATTAGTTAAAGCTTCTATACTACTATTATCTCCATATAGTATATTTGTGCCTAGTTTCAATGTAGATATTTCATGCATTGCAGGTGATGGGGCACAGCAACAACAAACCTACTGCAAGACAAGTTGTTAAACAGCTTATTGCAGAAGATGGTTGGACGGGATTATACAGAGGTTTAGGTCCGAGGTTTTTCAGCATGTCAGCATGGGGAACATCTATGATACTAGCCTATGAATATCTCAGTATGACTCTCTCTCTCTCTCTCTCTCTCTCTCTCTCTCTCTCCCTCGCCCAGCACACTAGCTGCCCTCAAATTCGATCTCCCCACCATACTATTTAGCTGGTTTGATATGCATTCTGCAGTAGCCATCTCCTTTCGACATTTTTTCCCCGTTGCCTATTCTTTGTTCTGCACAGCAAGTAATCTGATGAAAAAAATGTCTTTTTTTTTGCTTTGGTTTTTGAATGTAGAGCGCTTGTGTGCAAGCAATGATGAGGTTCATTGATCAGCTGCATTTGGGAGCTTATTTGATTTCGGCTGCCTAGAGAAGGTATATTGTTGGAGATATTATTTCATGAAATTAAACATGGCAATCGAACTTCATTTGACAGGGATGCAGTTAAATCCATGATTCATTAGTCTAACAAATATTTACAGTGATGTTTTCATTAGTGTGAATAAACCCGAGTCTTTAATGGAGGATAGATTCTGAACTGATTTGATCTTATATGATTTGTTATTGTTGAGTATATAATATATAAATATAAATGTGCAATCCAACTGTCAATTTAGGTTTTAGTTGAGATGGAGCACATGTTTCAATTATCAGAGCCAGTTCTATGCCAAAGTTTTTTTTTTTTTTTTTTTTACTTGGGGGCTCAATTGCATTATGCCATTATCCATTTGACTTAGAGAGTTAGGGGGTCAATTTGACCCTTTTCCCTAAAATTTTTAAGGAAAAATATTACTTGTACTCTCAAATTCTACTTCCAACTTTTATACTATTTGGCACCAGAATCTTACAATTAGATGTATGATATTCGGAAAATAAATGTCCAAAATATTACTTTGAAAACAGTTCACAAGTGGGTTAAACACTTAAACCCAAAGAGAATATAAATAATATAAAATTAATTTATCTAAGGTTTATTTTCAATCACGATTTGAACATAAGTTTTTCGCAAATTATGCCCGGAAAACGTGTTCACCATTAAAAAAAAAAAGAAAAATGGCACTTTTTCTCCTTGAGTTATATACTTATAGCACTTTTTCCCCCTCAATTATTTAGGTAAGCACATTAGCCCATTCAATTATTCTAAAAGTGGTTGTTTTTCCCCCTAATATATTAAATTGACATTTATACCCTTAAAATAAACATTTTATTTATTTTACTTCTCCAACAAATTATTGCGTATACGTAGGGATGACTACGATTCGGTTTGAACTGAATCGGACACTATAGCAATTGAATTAAAAGTTTCCGGTTATGATTTAGATCTAGAACCCAATATTTGGATTTCAATTTATTAAAATTATGAATCAAAAAAATTGGATCCTGAACCGTGAACTGGCGGTTCCGGACCCGATTCGCGATTTTGAACCGTTTTTATTTTAAAATTTTATTTTTATTTTAAAAATAGTCTAAATTCAACAATAAATGTATTTTATTTTTCAGTTCGGAACATGAACCGTCCGTTCCGGGATTTTAATAAACTCTAAATATCGAGTTTCGATTCTAAATTGTAATTGGAATATTTCGGTTTGGTTGCTATAGTGTTTATTTGGTTTGAACCAAATTATGGTCATAATTTGTTGGAGAAGAAAAATAAATAAAATATTTATTTTAAGGGTAAATATGTCCATTTAACATTTTAGGGGGAAAAACAGCCACTTGAATAATTGAGGGGGGGAAAGTGCTATAAGTATATAACTCAGGGGGAAAAAGTGCCATTTTCCCTAAAAAAAAATGTGTTAATGTGGTGTTAAGCGTTTGGTCAGATTATGAATTTTCTGTTATGAGATTATGAATGTACTATAAATTCATAATCTCATAACAGAAAATTCATAATCGCATAAAAGAAAAACATTTATTAAATTATGAATTTTCTGTTTGAGATTATGAATTTACTGTAAATTCATAATCTCATAACAGAAAATTCATAATCTCGTAACAGAAAATTCATAATTTATGAATGTTGAAGAAGCTTGCGCTACAGAGGAGCAGCCATGGTTTTGGACGGGAATGTGTAGGCATGGTTCCAAAGTGAATGTGCAGATATAGATTTATAATTTATGAATGTCCGCCCGCATGGGTAGCTCAACTGGTTATAGAGGTGAAACTTTGGAATAATGACCAAGGATCGAGTCTCACACAGCGGCAGTGTGGGAGCAACCTCTCAAAGTGAGGGGGGCTCCTTGTGCGCAGTGAGCACCGGTCTAGCCTCTATGGTTCATGTTCAGTTGAGTCACAATGATTGCCGGGGTGTGGGCGTTAATTAACAGCACGTTAAAATAGGTGGCGGCGGCGATGACGACGATGGTGAAATATGATAAATTTATATATAGGATAATAAAATTAGGTTAAAGAAAGGGGTAAAAAAGGGATTTTAAAATCTATTTCTGAGCGTTCAGTAATAGGCTAATACCAGGGGAAAGGGGTAAAAAAGGGATTTTAAAATCTATTTCTGAGCGTTCAGTAATAGGCTAATACCAGGGGGGGCCCTAGTAATAGCTATTACCTTATTTGAGGTAATAGGCTATTACTAGGAATATTATTCCTGGTAATAGAAATGGTTACCAAACAACGGAATAGGCCTATTATTGGGAATGCCATTCCCGGCCTATTCCATGATACCACGAAATGTGAAAATGAAGAAGAAAAATCACGCGATTAATTAAGAGAGAAAAAAAAAAGATAACGGTATACTAACACCGTTGGAACCGTGTTCACCATGGACCGTGAACACGGTTCCATGGCATAACGATTGTAAGTTTTTACAGTAATCAAAATTCATGAAATTATCATGTATGAAATTCATCCGACAAGAAAGGATATTTAGTTAGTTCTCTTGCTTTAACCTTAAAGATCTATATATTACCAGATCCATGAATAATTAAATATGCCTCTTCAAAAAATTAAACTACACTCAATAATAATGACATAAATGAGGGTATGATAAAGCATACCTACAAAGTGTTTTTTTTTTTTTTTTTGAAACAATAAAGTTTATAAAGTTAAAAGAGTAATCTTACACATGACATGAATTTTTTTTTTATTTAAAAAAAAATGAAATATAATTTTATTACTGTTTTTTCTCCATTAAATTCAGAATTTGTTTTTACAAAAGTTTTAATTTTTATAATACATTTAACATTTTTCAAAATTAAATTAATGACAAATAAAGATTTAAACTTTTTCATTAATACTATATATAGTGGAAATTATAAGTTATTATGTAAATAATCAAAGTTTAATTATTGTTGCTAATTTTTTATTTTTTTTTGAAGATATTGTTGCTAAAATTTTAAACACTTAATAGGAACATCACATGACAATAAAAATGTGGTATGAGTATGAGATAGGTAGAATGGTCAAATAGGCTCATCTAGTACTTATGAGTGTTCAACTCACACCTTGAATTAAAATAAGATTTAATTTGACACATTAACTCCCAAAATTTCATTCATTTAGCATTTTTTTTTAGGTTTTCCCTAGCAGCAATTATATCGTGGACTATGGTCCAAAAACGGCGTCGTTTCTTTAAAACGGCTGCCGTTACAGTTTAACGGAGCCCGTATTTTTTGGTGTGTTAATTATAAAATGAAACTACAGTATATCTAAAATGAAACTGTCTCACATATTGTTTTTATATTATCAAATGAAATTGCAATTGAATTGAAATGAAATTGTAGTTGTGTTGAAATGAAATTGCAGTATATATAAAATGAAACTGAATAACAGTTTCACATATTTGGGTGTATAATGTCCAATGAAACTGTAGTTATATCGAAATGATAATGTAGTTGTGTTGTAATAAAACTATAGTACATATAAAATGAAACTGAATAACAGTTCCACATATTTGAGTGTTTAATGTCGAAAGAAACTGTAGTTATATCAAAATGAAACTGTAGTTGTGTTGAAATAAAATTGCAGTGTATATTGCCCAATGAAATTGTAGTTATATCGAAATGATAATGTAGTTGTGTTGTAATGAAACTATAGTGTATATAAAATGAAACTGAATAATATTTTCACATATTTGAGTGTATAATGTCGAATGAGACTGTAATTATATCGAAATGAAACTGTAGTTGTGTTAAAATGAAATTGCAATGTATATAAAGTGAAACTGAATATGTTACACAAGCAGATCTACTTTATGCGGAACGGCGCGGAACGAGTGCCGTTTCTTTTCATTAAAAGAAACGGCTTCGTTTTGGACCACGGTATAATTTGCCTTCCCGGCCCTAGGTAACCCTTCCACAATGCTGACATGAAATTAAATAAAAATAAATTTGCTAACTTGGTAATTTGTCACCACCTTCATGGTTGATTTTTAAACCCAATCAAATCCAAATTGTCTCTAATCAAACCCAATTGTTAGACTGTTAGATAGTTGTGGGACGTTATAGTTTTCCTTGGGTAGTTTCATATTCATTAGGTAGCTTTCTGGTTGAACTCTGTGTATAAATAATGTATAGCTTTCATGAATAAAATCATCCAGAATTCTAAACACTTCATTTGGTATCAGTTTTAAGCCTTAAGATCCTATGGCCTCTGAACAAAGCCTTCCAGCCGCTGGCTCCAATGGCGCATCGGCACCACCCGCCACCGCCGCAGAGCAACGCCACTCCACCATGCTCCAGCAGGCTCACCATTATCTGTCGCTCAAGCTCTCCTCTTCGAACTACTTGTACTGGAGAGCTTAGTTAGTACCCTTTCTACGTGGCCAAAATCTCTATGGCTATGTAGATGGCTCTCTCGTTTGTCCACCGGAGAATGCTTCTGCCACCACCAACCCAACCCGTGCTATGTGGATACAACAGGATCAATCGATCCTTAGTATGTTGATATCATCCATGGCGGAAGAAGTATTGTACTTAGCCATTGGTCACTCCACATCGCGGGGTGTTTGGATGGCTATCGAAACGGCACTGGGCTCTTCTTCACGAGCCCGATCATTCAGTTTACTCACGCAGCTTCAAAGCCTCCGACAAGGTGACTCGACTCCGGCCGCGTATCTGGGAAAGCCTCAAGTACTGGTGGAGCAACTCGCCCAGGCAGGCCGCCCAGTGGGGCTTGACGAACAAAACCTCCACGTGTTCCGCGGCCTTCGACCGGAATACCGGAGTCTCGTTGCTTCTCTCACGACGAAAATAGCACCCTTGATGATTCCCGAGGTGGCCGACCTTCTCTCGACGCATGAATACTTGTTTCCGGAGGAGGTGCCGACACCGGCGGCATTGGTTGCTCAACATCACCCAGTTCCTGGAAATAGCAGCCGCGGCAGAGGTCGGAACAACAATCGAGGTGGCAGAAGTGGTCGAGGAGGCATTCGTTGCCAACTATGTGATGTGCCCGGACATACGGCACTCACTTGCTACAGGTTTGTCGATCCTACCTATCGTTGGCCGACTCAGCAACAATCTGGCCAGCGTACAGGTTCAGCACCGCAAGCTCACATGGCCGCTCAACAGCCCCAAGAGGATTTCAACAATGTACCCTTTTCCAACGTTTGGTATCCAGACACTGGAGCCAATGCCCACGCAACACCGAATGGAGCAGTCTTAGATAATGTTGAACCGTACACCGGGGACGACACACTGCGAGTGGGCGATGGTTCAGGTCTGTCCATATTAAACACAGGTTCTTTAAAATTACCCCTTAAGTTACGGTCACTGTCTCTAAATAAAGTGTTACATGTACCTAAATTACGTGCCTCGTTATTGTCTGTTCAAAAGTTCACTCGTGACAACGATGTGTACTTTGAATTTCACCCTTCTCATTTTATTGTGAAGGATCGTTCTACCCAGCAAGTTCTTCTTAAAGGTCCGAGCAACGGGGGGTTGTATTCACTCACTACGTCCACTCCAGTTGCGTTACTGTCAGCCAAAGCTTCTCCTAATGTGTGGCATAATCGACTTGGGCACCCACACAGTCAAGTCCTCCGTCAGGTTCTGTCTAATTGTCCAGTTAGTGGTTCTATCAATTCCGTTAATAATGTATGTACTGCGTGTCAGTTGGGTTAGTCTGCGCGCTTCCCACTCACGCGAATTGCAAAATCTAGTGCGTCTGTACTCGATCTTATATTCACAGACATTTGGGGGCCCTCTCCGGTTTCGTCCGTAGATGGGTATAAGTATTTTGTTATTTTTGTTGACGATTTTTCTCGGTTCATTTGGTACTACCCGATGAAATTAAAATCAGATATTTATGCTATATTTGATAAATTCCGTACGTTTGTAGAAAAACACTTTTACACTCCCATTAAATGTGTTCAGTCTGACGTGGGCGGTGAATATCGCAAACTAAACACGGTATTCACCGCTGCCGGCATTCTACACCGTCAATCTGCACCCCACACACACGAGCAAAATGGCCGTGTGGAGCGCAAACATCGACACATAGTCGAAACTGGGCTAACCTTCTTAGCCCAAAGTCATGTTCCAAAACACTACTGGTCCTATGCGTTTGAGTCGGCTGTTCACTTGATCAATCGCCTTTCGTCTACTGTAACCCAAAATGTGAGTCCGTTCTCAAAATTGTTCCATAAATCCCCAAACTATAGTCTCCTTCGTGTCTTTGGGTGTGAATGCTTCCGTGTTTACGCCCATATAATAAACACAAAATGGACTATCGTTCCAAATCATGTGTTTTTTCTCGGGTACCCCAACTCTTTTCTTGGCTACAGGTGTTTGGACAGAGAATCAGGCCGCATCTATATTGCAAGGCATGTGCGTTTCAATGAGCAGGTGTTCCCTTTCCAACACGTCCAGCAGGATTTCACTGCCTCTGCACCTCAATCCGCGGCGCCTTGGGCGAGTGCACAGGTCCATCATCCACCAGTGCACCCGCCTGCACCACCGTCACCTCCGGTTCATAGCCAATCTGGCCTACCGCCACCCAGCGCTCGACCGGCGAATCGAGCAGCCTCTTCCTCGACGGCACAGGCAGCATCTTCATATTTCCAACCCACCACCTCGTCGACAACAACAACCGGACGTCGACGCGTGAGCCGAACATCCGGACGCATGTCATGCAACTTCGGACAACTACGCATGCACGTCGGCATCCTATGAGTCAACAACCAACGGCAATGGTGGCTTCGGTCAACGATAATGAGCCAACCTGCCACACGCAAGTCATTAAATTGCCACATTGGCGAAAGGCTATGGACACTGAGTTCAATGCGTTATTACAGAATGAAACTTGGCGTCTAATACTGGCACGGGATGACATGAACATAATAGGATGTAAATGGGTTTTCCGTGTTAAGCGCAGGTCCGATGGTACTATCGAGCGCTACAAGGCCCGTCTCGTGGCCAAGGGGTTTAACCAAGTACCTGGTGAGGACTATTTCGAGACATACAGCCCAGTGGCCAAACCGACTATTGTCCGTCTCCTATTAGCATATGTTGTATCAAATAAATGGTCTATGCGTCAGCTCGACGTCCACAATGCTTTTTTAAATGGGCACATTGGTGAGGATATATATATGCGACAACCGCCAGGCTATGCGAATCCTAATTGTCCAGACTATGTGTGTAAACTCCAGCGCTCGTTATACGGCCTAAAGCAAGCCCCTCGGGTGTGGTTCAAGAGATTGCATGACTTTCTTCTGCAGGTTGGGTTTCGTCCGTCAAAAACAGATGTTTCTTTATTCATTTTTTATTCAGGGCAAGTGCGGGCGTATATCCTAGCCTACGTCGACGGCATTCTGTTGCTAGGCTATGATCGTGACATGATCAACACTGTGCTAACTAAATTGTCCACGACGTTTCGCATAAGGGACTTTGGTACGCCAAGATTCTTTCTTGGGATTGAGGCGGCATACAAAGGTGACACGGTAATGCTATCACAACAGCGGTATATGACGGAGTTACTTCGCCGAGCTGGCATGGAGTCCTGCAAACCACTGACAACTCCGATGTCTCTTACCACCTCAAGTGCCGCCACTGAGTCGCCGTTACTAGATGATCTCACGCCATACCGGCGTCTCAGCGGGTCTTTGATGTACCTACTGATCACTCGGCCAGATTTGTCTTTTGCAGTGAATCGCTTGTGTCAATTCATGCACAAACCGACAGAGGATCATTGGGCGGCACTGAAACCGGTGCTGCGCTATGTGCAAGGAACACGGGATTTAGGTCTTCGTCTCACTGCCACATCCTCACCAGTTCTGCACGTTTTCTCCAACTCCGACTGGGTCGGGTGCTCGCTTGATAGGAAATCCACAGTAGGTTATGCGGTGTTCCTGGGCCTCAATCTGGTGTCCTGGGTCTCAAAGAAGCAAGGCACAGTCGCCCGGTCTTCCACCGAAGCTGAATACAAGGCCCTAGCTGATGCTGTAGCCGAGGTCTCGTGGATTCAGTCTCTCCTACGTGAGCTTGGCCTGCATCCACCGACTGCTCCGGTACTCTGGTGCGATAACTTGGGAGCAACTTATCTTTGTGCTAACCCAGTTTTTCACGCGAGGACTAAACACGTCGAAGTGGATTACCATTTTGTCCGTGACAAGGTGGCAACCGGGGGATTGAAGGTGAATTTTGTGTCCACGCACGATCAGTTAGCTGACATCTTTACGAAGGCGCTCGCCTCGTCTCGCTTTGGTGATCTCAGGGTCAAGCTGGGCGTGGTCCCGTGTCCCTCGTCAGCTCGAGGGGGAGTGTTAGACTGTTAGATAGTTGTGGGATGTTATAGTTTTCCTTGGGTAGTTTCCTATTCATTAGGTAGCTTTCTGGTTGAACTCTGTGTAAATAATGTATAGCTTTCATGAATAAAATCATCCAGAATTCTAAACACTTCATTCCAATCACCCATTGTTGAATTTATTTTATTTTATTTTTTATTTATTTATTTTTTTTTTGCAACAAATGACACCATGAATTTTCCAAGTTATTAGTTGTTCAAGAACATAGGGAAAACAAAGACCCAATCATCAATGTTGTTGCTGGTTAATCCATTTGTTCATACGCAACAACAGTTTGGCGGAAGCGAATGTGGATGATACATATGCGGTACTTACTCGCGTACTAGGGCTTTCGGCAGCCCTGCCGAGGATAATTTATTTGAAAAATTTGGTTTCTGAGATTAGTTATGATTCGTTGTCTAATTTCACTTTGTTGATTATGAAGGATTCGAAGGGTTGGTTGGAGGTCAATGGAATTGATGTGTTAATGGATGCCAAGTTTGAGTAGTCTATTCGCTCAGATTTTAGTGAAAGAAATTGATTTTGTGTATATTTTTGACAGATCTTGAGCTTTTCATCAAATTAGCTTCTCATAGAATTTACAGATACACATCAATATATTAATCTAAACTTTAACTACCTAATTCAAACTTCAAAAGTGATGATGTTGATAATTGCGCGCCCATGGAAGTGGTACAATCCCCAAAGCTCAAGATTGAGCTTTGTTCAAATCAAATGAAAAAAAAAAAAAAACAAACAAACAAAAAACATAAAGAATACAGCTTGAAAGACGAGGGTGAAAGCTGCGATGATGGATATGGTGGTGGCTGGATTTGGTCTACGACAGTCGACAGTGAGATACGTACCCAGCCGGTGATATAGTTGTACAGTGCCCACTTTTCTAATTTTAGTTGAAACATTACTTTTTGCAAGTGCTTGCAAGAAAGAGCAAGTTTTGTGCAGAGGTTGAAAATGAATATTGATTTTGAAGAGAGGGTATTTTGCATTTAAAATAAATAAATATCACTTGCTACATCATCAAAATCGAAGGAAAACCTAGAGAAAATGCTTAGGGGGAATTAATGTGTCAAATTAAATATTATGTTAGCTCTGGGTGTGAATTGAACACTTAAAATAGTAAATGAGCATATTTAACCATTTTGTTGTATGTGATATGATGCTCGATGATGACATGTGGACAATGACATGGCAAAATTACCATGCTTTAGAAAATATTTTCAAAAGTCTTCTTCTAACCCATCCCATTTGAAGGGCCAAATAATGACTACTTGTCCTACTTTCAAGATTTAGGCCATGTTCCAATAATTTGTTCTTTCGTCTCTATTATACTCTCCATTCCGGCCAAAGATTCATCGTCTGAAAGTACCCATGCCGAAATCTGGTTTAATTTCACGGTTAATCGTTAGCCAACCAGAAAATGAGCATGAAAGATGCAAGACAATCCAAGCAGACACACATATAATATATATATTATTATTTAAAATTTTTGATAGACGATGAACATTATTCACAATACACGAAGTAGTTAAGACTTAAGAGCAACACTTGGGTGGCAGTTGAGTAGGCAGCTAAGCTAATATAACCTAGGAACCACCACCACCACCACAAGTCCGATGATACGGCCCACAATTCATCTTCCCGTACTTTTTGTCGGAAAAGCAGCTATTTTGTACCGCCCCCTTACAAGCCGTCGCGTTATCCAGCACCGACGTGTAACTAAGATAAGGGTGGTTGCCTGATGTGCTCTCAAGTAGTTTCTTGCTGGTTTCGAAATCCATCATCACAAACTCTTCCCAATGACGCTGGTGTATTCGGGAACCCGACCGCTATAAATGGCCACTGTAATTATCATAACACGGGAATACACCATTGGTGTGTTTTATTACACTATTGGTGTATGTTGTCAACACTGTTGGTGTATTCTGGAACCGGCCCGCTATAAATGGCCACTGTAATTACCATAACACCCCCACTTACCAAAACGCGCAAAAATCTTTAGAATTACCACTGGCGTTAGATTAAACTGATTCAACGACATATATACGATCACACCTAATGACATGACCACATATGAGCGCTCTTCTATATATATATATATATATATATATATATATATATATATATATATATATATATATATATATATATTTGGGTAATATGGTTGAAAAATCCCAAAAATAATAATCCTACGAAAAGATTAATATTATATGGGAAAACAGAAAATCTGGGAAGAAAAATGTGGAGTGTTTGGATATAGGTTTAGCACGAGTTCGAACACGAAGTTCTTTTCCTTAAAACCTTATTTGCTACCACCCACAAGTGCTAGGAGCGTTGTAGCCTAGGTTTCCCAGGATAAAACGTGCTACGATTCTTTGTTTAAGCACCTAAACAAAGAACCCGGCAAACAAAGCAAAACAGTGAACACTAGTTGGTAAAGAAGAGAGTAGAAGCAGAGTTTTGAGAAGCTGAAAGCTACTGGAATTCCTTTCGTTTTTGTACTGTGTAGAATGCTACTGCTCTACCTATCTTTATATAGGGATGTTGGAGTGCTAGCATTCAACATGACCATTAAATTGGTATTAAAACCAATTGTGTAATACCCACCCACTAAGTAGGATTAAACTCAGAATTTAAAATTGAAATTAAAACAGTATTAATTCCGTAACATATGAGCTTAATCTGTACAACAGGCTGAACTTTCGGGTTTCAGACCGTTGGGGTGCAGGTGCACACGAGAGCATAAGGACTAGCAACACGAGAGTGCACCTCTCGTGGTCACAGATGCACGAGAGTGGGCACCTCCGGACAACATTCGTGCCCGCAGGTGAGCTCGGGCTTGAATCAAGCCTTTTCGATCTCCTCTAGTTAGATTTTGATTTCCAACAATATATATATATATATATATATATATATATATATATATATATATATATATATATATATAATAGGATATTTTTCTTTCACTTTTTGGTCACTGTTCTATCCAACAGTACGTACACTTGGAAGAAACTAATGTGGCTGAAAATTAAGATAAGGGTTTCGTGGAAGAACGCGACAAATATAAAACCCGAGAAAAGGAAGCCCATAAACTTTACATGAAAAGATAATTTTAACGTCCAAATTTATAAAAAGTGTAATTACACTCTTTAATAATTTAATATTGAGATAATGAAGTTTAAAAATCGATAAATGGTATGCTATTAGCCTATAATAGGTCATTAGGGTTCTGACATCAATTTTATCTATTTTCGGTGACGATTCACACCCGAAAAGCTAAGGCGACTAGATATTACTGAAAATTATGAAATTTCCGACCACCTGAAAGTGATCTTAAATCAAGTCGAAAGCTTTGTTCCGACCACTTTTGGTATCCGGAAAAACTTTTGTTGCTATTTCCGACAACTTTTTGGACTTTTTGGTATCAACTTGATTTAAGATCACTTTCAGGTGGTCGGAAATTCCATAATTTCCAGTAGTGAGAGTTGGTCGCCTTCTCTGACGGTAGACTGTTGCCTTCCATGAAGAAGGCGAACGGTTGCTCAGAGAAGGCGACTACTAGGTGGTCGCCTTCGCTGGAGAAGGCGACCAACTAGTCGCTAGTCGCCTTCTCTAGTAGACGGCGACGGTTTGACCGTCGCTGATTGCCGGATTGTCGTCGAAGCTGGATAAAATTGATGTTGGAACCCTAATGACCAGTAATAGTAAATTATTTATTGGTGTTTAGACTTCATTGTCTCAATATACCATGTTAAAGTATTACATTTTAATTAAAAAGTATTATAGATCTCACGTGAGAATGTCTTACATAATATGGATCAAGTTAAGCCAAGATTTTTATTGTTCGGTTCAACCCGATCCACTCATATTTTACCTAGAGTAGTCTAGTCCAATTTAAAAAAATAACTGGAGAACATATGGCGTACCTACCCACCCATTTGATCAATTGTTATATTGTAGTCCGCATGAAGAGCTCAGTTGGTCACATGAATAAAATTTGGAAAGAATTGTTATATTGTAGACCATGGGAGATGGGGTTTGCATGGAAATAATTGCTGCATTTGAATGGTGCAATTGGCATTGATGGTACGGTGATGTGATGGTGATGGGATGGGGATGAATAGGGGAGGATAGATACTACTAGGAATAAGTGAAATTAATAAATTTGTATAAAATATAACATTATATTTATAATTTATTTAAAGTATAAATTATATGTAAAATAAATATAATTAGTATAAATAAAATTATTTAATATGAATGTGTTTGATAAAATGATAATACTAAAAAAAAGTTAGTTAAAATGATAATTGACGCACAAAAATAATCAAATATAAATATACAACAACAAGAGAATGTATTGGAAGACATGCATGCCCTTAGGATTGAAATTATGCACCAATCAACCACTATCTTTATTGACAAGTAGTGAAGTACACTTGACTATAACTTCACTTTTTCATTTGTATAAGGTCACATGCACCTAGAAGTTCAAAAAGATGACATTGATTCATGGTTTTATCTTATTACAATATACATCATGGCTGATTATTGGTAATATAATGGTTGGCGATAGCTTTAAGATATTGTGATTTGTGAATGATCAAAAGTTGGTGAATGAATTTGTTCATTAGTGTCGGTCGGTAAAAGAAAACAATAAAAACAAGACAAAATTTAATCAATGAATTTGAATTATTAATAGCTATTAGCTAGAAGAGAGAGATCAGACTTTGATTTCGTTTTCATTATTTTTGTTTGTTTCCATTTTCGTGTCGGGCCAAAGATTCCTCGTCGTCTGAAAGTAACAGAACCGGAGTCCGATAAAATTTCCCGTTTAATCACCGTCAACATAAATGAAGATGAAACACAATTCATGTAGACAAACACGTTTAGATAATATATTGTTTGAGCAAATATCAATTTTGGTTTCACGAGCATTAACAAAATGATAGTTTTGATCCATATGTTTAATTCAATCAATTTTTATTCACGATTATTATTTTATTAGTACCAAAATTTATCACGCTGGTTACCCTTCCATTTAAAACATGTGAAAATCTAAAATTTTTAAGGGTATTTTCATCTTTTTAATTTAAAATCTGAAAAGTCCTAAGATGAATCCTAATTCACAGTTCTCCTCATCATCTTACCTTAATTATATTAATCTAAAAATCAATATGTATGTGCAAGCTTAAGCAAAGCCCACCCAAAATCAGCAAGGCACAATTTTGCCAATCCTTAAACAAAAGCAAAATTCCTAGGCTTAAAGAAACTAAACCTAGTCTAACAAGGGAGGGACCTTGCCCAAGTAGCAGCAATTACAACATAGCCAGCAACATAAACAAGCGAAATAAACAAATAACGCCTCAATTTTACCGAAAATTCGGCAGTATAGCGGCTATGTTTAGTAAATGGCTGTTAGCTGATTGAGTTAATTAGATGGTATAATTAGTTGATAACATTAGCTGATTGTAAAAAAATATTTGATAAATTAACTGTTAGCTGTTGTAGAGGGCCAGACAGACTGTCAAATTAAATTATATTTTTTCATAGATGAAAAAGATACGTACACAACAGTATATATAATATCAAGAGCAGCATATCACCGAGTACAAAAGCCATTATTCCGGCAGCTATGCTATTGGCCACCACCACCACCACCACATCCTCGATTATAAACGTTACAGTTAATCTTGGGATTGTTTGGGTCGCCAACGCAACTTCCATATTGTCTTGCGTTACAAAGTGGCCCTCTATCCATCGAGTCGTAAGAAACATGGTTGTTTGATGCACTCTCAAGAAGTCTCCGGCTGGTCTCCGAATCCATCATCACAAACTCTTCGCCGATGACACCGCCGCCGCGGACGGAAGCCACGGACGGCGGCACAGAAAATAAAGATTGAGCAGCTCCGGCGGCGCATTTGTATATGTTTGGGAGGAGTAGCAGCAAGAGGAGATTAGCAGCAATGCAGCTACACTTGAACAGCCTGTACTTAGCCGCCATCTACACTTTTGCCTTTGATCTATGCAGCAACAGTCCGAATATATAATGGGAATTTTAAAAAAAAAAATCACTTTTTTGGTCACTATTCCTTTTTTTCTTTTTTTTTTCTTTTTTTTTTTTTTCCTTTCATTTGATCGTTATATTCTAATTGGTATCAATTCTTATACTATGGACGAGGATTAACATATGTATTCAGTTGTTGTGTCTTGTGTTTTGAATTATATATGTACCTGAAATAAATTAGTAATTATGTGTTATGTTATGAATTTTTATGTTTTGTGTTATGAAATTATGTGCCTGTGAACACAAATTATGTACATGAATCATATTTAAAATATAAGTAAATATACAACATATGTATGTATGTTGTGATTTTTTATGTATGTTATGAAATTTTATACCTTAAAAGTATAAATTCTATATATACCTTGTCGTTTAGATTTAGAGTCTAAAATACTATGTGGACCTTGTTCCATGATATAAAATGCCAATTGGTATAAAAAACTATTAATGTAAGATGAGTTGGGGTTAGCTCACCCTCACGGGATCGCGACGCTTTGTCCCAACCATTGTAGCACGTGTGTCGCCCAGGGCATAAAGGGCATGATGACTTGACGTCATCCTCATATTCCTCCGGCTTATCACCGGCAATCTGTTCAGGGTTCCAAACTCAACGATGTCAACAAATATTCACACGGCAAATTATTTTGTGGATTTAGGTCCATATTACAAGGTGGACCCCAAGTCCAAAGATACACAATTTACATACTAAATATTCACAAATTCACTTTTTAAAAATCCACAAATTGTAATGATCATGTATTATATTCACAAATTTCCCAATCATAGAAATACAATTTATATTCTAAAAGTTTACAATTTCAATATTAAAAATATACAATTTAGGACCAGGGTACACCTTGAAAGGTAAACCCTGGTCTATGGTATAACAAGTGATATTCACACACTAGATTTGTAAATGAAGGTGACTAAAATTAAAACCCACGTTAGTAATAAGGGGCAATACAATCATATCAACTTTTTACTATTTTTAATTGCATGTATATGTATGCTAACGTAATATACCATAATTAATACGGAGTATAATTTTTCTTTAAGAGTATCAAAGACATATAGTTAAATTCATTGTTGCAAAAATCGCGCTTAGACACTAGACGTCCGGCTAGGCGCTCTAGGAGCCCGCCTAGGCGCCCTAGGCGGTCCCCAAGCGCCTAGAGGGCGCTTAACAATTTTTTCAACACTACTTAAATTAAAGTAACATTTTCTGAATTAAAGAATAATTAGTTCGGGTGGAAGCTAGGGACCTAAAGCAACATCCTTGTCTCCTTGTAAATAAAATATAAATACCTATACAATATGTATATAAAATAATTTAAAAAAAAAAAAAAAAAAACACCGTATGAACAAATTAGCAACGGAATGCAAGAAAGATGACTGTGCAAAGACTTTTGTTTGAACGTTTTGTGGTTTAATTATGACGTCTAGAGTTATTATACTTCCTTGAATACTACACCTAAAAGAAAAGAACTCCAAAATTTAATATAGTTGTCTCATTCTTGTAAGTTATAAAATGCGGCTTAGGCACTAGGCGGTCTTAGACCGCGGTGGTTTCGCCTTTAGGCGCCACCTAATCAGCCAACCGATTAAGCGGTCGAGTCGATCGGCGGACATGATTATAGTAGAAATGATAATAGATTCAAGATCAAAGATGAATTCCATAACAATCACAAAGTAGTAAAACAAAGTAACAAAGCAATAAGCAAAGTTATAATGAAATTAAATTTGAATGGACTTTATCTTATTGGAGATGAATTTTCAATCCTTACTTCAAAGATAAAAATGAAACTTGAATCTAACTAATGCTGATCGAGTTACTCATAATAGCTATTAGTTATAAAAAGATATATGGAGCTTTTATATAGCTATTAGGCAAACAAATTAAGATTATATACATGTTATTTGAAATTTTAGATAAATGAAAACGATACACAACAATACAATATACGAAGCACCGAGTAAGAAGCCATTAACCACTACCACTACAATCTCGAGTATAGTTGCCACACTTTATCTTTAGGTTCAGTGGTTTATCAAAGCAGTTTTGATATTTTGTTTCGTGACAAATTGGCCCTTTCTGCAACGAAGCGTAGATAGGGCTGTTTGTTGCCCTCTCATGAAGTCTCTTGTTGGTTTCGGAATCCATCATCACAAACTCTTCCCCGATGACGACGCCACCGCCTGCGGTGGCGCACTCGGCGGCGGTGCGGCAGCCACCCATCATCAGGGCCGGATTTTAGGTTTTTGTGGCCCTGTTATAGTAAATAACTGAGGCCCCCAAAATCTTAATTTATAAAACTAACATATGCGAGTTTCGAACCTTTGACCTTCAAGTTAAAATACAACAAATACACATTTCTACCATCACTTCATAAAACCTTTTAAAATCAATTGTAAACTTTTAATTTTTATTTCTAAACTAGCTAGGTAAATATTAAATATTGGGCCTCTAAAATTTGGGGCCCCTCTTAAATTGGGGGCCCTGTGCGGTAGCCCAGCTTGCACAGTCTCAAATCCGGCCCTGCCCATCATCTCAGCTCCGGCGCCGCATGTGTATATGACGTTTGTGAGGAGGAGCAGCAGCAAGAGGCACTTGAGCAGCCGGTCGTTACCCGCCATATATCTACACTATCCTTAGCTTGTGTGCAACAATACCGCTGGCTAATCTGTATATATATATTGGGATTTTTTTTCCGATCGCCCAGTTTTTTTGTCACTATTCTAATCGTACTGTAGGGTCAAACTAAATGTGGCTGAAATTTAAGATAAGATGTTGCATAAAGAAGACGACAATCATCGTAATTTATTTGGTAAGGTAGAACAGTGATATAAAGTTTAATTTTTAATTTATTTTGTAAGGTTTATTTTCTAGTAATGAATATTTACTTTTTTCTTTGGATGCATTATTTTCTTTCGTTGGGTGCATAATTTTAAAATGTTATCTTTGCACTGTAAGGTGCATATAGTTTAGCCCGAGTGCACACATTTTAAGATTTATGTGTCTAAATAAAGATAACTCCAAGAAGTGCATTCTAAAAAAAAAAAAAAAAAATCCTTCATTCTGGACAATTAATCTAGATTAGATCAACGATTTAAATCTCATCCCATTTTTCACCTGAAAATTCCTTCGTACGCGAATCATCCCCTATATATATGCGAGTGTACAAATTAAATAGATATAAATTTGTGTATGTATGTATATACATACGTGTATACATACTATATATACTACACACACACACAACAGTGACAGTAAGAACGTGATAATGGGATTGTAGCATCACATGAAGAAGAACTACTGAAGAAGACAACCACCTGCCCACCACTTGCCTAAATAAAAGATTCCCCTGTACTGTTACATTACATTACAACCCTTACGCCAAAATGGCTTCATTCCTCCATATTGACCACTCTTGTTCACAAATGATTAATTGAGTGAGTGAAATATAATTTTAGTATTTGAATGGTCACAATTATAAATTTTATCACTACATTTTTTTATCGAGCTTGTCGTATAGATTTTTTTAGTACGTACAATTTATTTTTCCTATATAGTTTGTTGTTATTATACACAAACAGAGGTTACCCAATTAATACACACGCACATTCAAATGTTAAATTTAACTTTAGTGAATTTGGTCATTATAATTATATTCTTTTAAAAAATTTTGGTGCAAAAATTTTAAAGTATTTAAATTTGGTTTCCCACTATTGAGAATAAATAAATAAGTGTGTGTGTGTGAACACTGTACCCTTTGCACATAAAAATTATGGACAAATTATAGCCATAAAAAATAAGTGACCAATGTCCTCATATATATATATATATATATATATATATATATATATATATATATATATATATATATATATATCAATTAATGTGCAAATTAGTTCAAACAAAATTCTAAATTTTTGTTCAAATAGGTAAGTCAACGACAAAATAGGAGTTCCTATATTATTAAATAAGTTTATTTTATTTAGATAATAAATTATTGTTGTTATTATTAAATAATATAAGAAAGTTAATTGTTTTGTTAATGTTCGGTACTTTAATTTAGCGAGACAAACACGTGAAGCAGGCAACAGTACAGTAGAATGGGTTGTTGTGTAGTGCTCAGTTGGGTGACTATTGTGCATCGTAGAATGTTGTCAGCATTGTGTGCTCACACACCACACGCTACACTTATACATTAAACGATTGTGCAACCCTAAAATTGCAATGTGCACATACACGTTCACAATAAAATGCACACATTGCATACACATCATGCACCACCACAAGTAAATGCCCACGCAAATTTACTATTTGTTGAGAAAATCAAAGATGAAAGCTTTGTTATGCGTTGGTCCACATCATACCTTCTCATTAGTATGACATTTTATGTGGTTGCCATCTTTCACTCAAAATGAGTGAATCTCATTTATTGAGAATGAGGCGTGTAGCATGTCTTTTGGACATTAGTGGCCAAGAAGTGAAGACTATATTACTATATATAGCATACTTCCTTTGTTCATTAGATACACACAAAAGCTTCTTCCTTCTTTCTATATAAGAATTAATATATATTATAATATATATAATATATATAATTCGTGTCTGCCGGTTAAGGTATGAGCAATAGTGAGGTTCGCCTATGTGATTGCTAGTGCAAGTTATCCGTAGTTGGTCTGTGTAGCCTGTCGAAAGCTTGTCTGGGTTCTATCAGCACCGTTACCGGACAAATAACGCTTTTAAGGTAGTGTTATTGTAACACAGCACAGCTTTTCTTTCAACCATACACCAATAGTGTCCGTGCTTCTTAAAAGGCTTCCAGATCGCGCGTTGACGTTGCGATTTTCCCCAACAGTTAAAAGCGTTATTTGTGCAACAGTCAACCTTTAGCAATATGACACCTTCTGTCATATCAGATCTATCAAAAATCACCGCGCTTGATGGGAAAAATTACAGTAGGTGGGCTCAAAGAATGCTTATTCTCTTTGAAAAATTAAAGTTGGTTTACGTGCTATATTCAGTTACACCTGAACCTACTCCAACAGTGTTCTTTCCCTCTGGTGCTACAAAAGCTAACCATGAATCTGATTACACTCCAGGTGAAGAATCGAGAGAAAGCAATCCTGAAATAGATTATATTCCAGGTCAAGAACCAGGTGTAACTCTGATGCAGTTTAGAAATGACAATGCGGCAGCCAGAGGATACCTTCTGTCTCAAATGAATGACGATTTGTTCGACATCTATGTCAAACAAGACTCGGCAAAAGTCATTTGGGAATCACTGTCAGAAAAGTACGGTTCCAATGAACCTGAAAATCAAAGTGTCAGAACTGTCTACAACAAAAGGAGTAGAAAAATCAAGAAGTTCAAAGGAAGGTGTTTTACATGCAAAAAGCAAGGACACCGAGCACACCAGTGCTACCATCACAATGGCAAAACTAGCAAAAGTTAATCTGACAGAGCAAGATGAGTATTGAGTCTCTTTAAATAAGTAGTTATTTTTGAGTAACTATATTTGCTCTAGTTCTAAGGGTTTACATGAAGTATGATTGTCTTAGTACCGAATTCTAGTTGAGCTGTCTAGATTTTGATTACTTAGTAGTACTTATTTCTTTAGTATTTTGAATACTAATGACGTTGATTGAAATAATTTGTGCATAGATATTGCTCAAACTTTTTACTAAAATTATTTGTATAAAAATAAGAGCATATATCATAGGCTTCAATTGTAATTTAGTGAGAACATGGAAAAGTCATCATTCTTAAACACTCTGTCTAGGAAGATGGTTTTTAAGTAAACTTCGGTTTCACCACTCGACCTGGGAGTACTTAAGAAGTAGGGCGTTGATCATGCAGGCTAGTTAGAGCGCCACTTGATCTTCACCTGAAATGAGGTTGACTTTCATATGTTGTTATTCAATCAAAGTCTTGCAATAGAAATTGTTGAAGTACTGCAATAGTAATATTGATCTGCATCCTATGAATGCTTTATATGAGTTTTGATTTCCTCAAGGGAATGGAAAATTGTGCAAGTGACAACTCTGAAGTCTCATTGTTGAGAGATATTTTCAAATAAATGTGAGCTCGAACATATTCCTTGTGTATGAGATTAATTTCTTATAAGAATATGATGTGAAATTTGTAATTATATTGTTCAACTTGATGTAGCATGTGGACAACATTATTTCTATGGCTTACTAACAATGAGTATTTGTATATATATATTAATTAAACTCTTGGTTGAGTCATATTGAAATACCTATAATTCCTAGTTAAAGGGTAATTGTGATCAATTGAGATAATCAAGTTTGTTGAAATATATTCAATTGTTGAGCATGTATCAGGCAGAGTGCGATGCTTCTATAATGCTCCACAAAGCAAGTCGGCAAAACTCAGTCTACAAAGGAGCTAATGTTGGGCACCAAAGATCAGTCTGGGTAAGAGATCAAATACATTTGACAAAATTATTTGTAAGTGTTTCATTGTGAGGGTAATAAACTCCTTATATTTTCATCAAAAGTTTCTCTGTGGTATTGAGAATAATGATGAAAGAGGATGTTTCATGTTAAACATGAAAATCTCAAGAGATTATATCTGAGTAAACGAAGTACTCGTCAAAGTACATGTAAGTTTGGTCAAGAGAATCAACTTATTTGAGGGCTAATTATGATGATTAGTCGTTGACTCATTGGAAGGACTTAAAGTCCAAGTGGTAATGAATTCGTGGTGGATCCCACTTCTGTGGTCAAACGAAGCCATGAAAAGAGTTACAAAATAGTACACTAGTTGGTCATTCCGACAGTGTGTGTACTTGTGAGGTTGAGCTACAACTCTTAATGAATTCATAACTCTTTGAGAAAGGGTGGTTTTGTTGAGACAAACCTAATGAATTCACTGCATAATGACATGAGTACAAAGTGGTCTTGGTGACTTATACTCAATTGGGGTGGTCTATGTTGAGGTAGACCTAAAGAGATCCCTAACTTGAGTGGAAAATGGCTAACCGCCTCTTATGAAAGACAATGAGGTTATCCCAAGAAGCCAAGTGGCTAAGAAACATGGTGATAACCGTGCAATTGTGGGGGTGTCCAACACCTTCACCACATTGTGATTCACAAACTGTCATTTGCGCTGCCAATAACAGTACCTATGATAGAAAGAAAAGACTTACAACTGATTTATGTCTTTAACTACTCTATAAGCCTTTAATGGTAGTCTATACTAAAATAGACTTGATAGAGTTAAAAGTCTATACTGAGATAGCCTTGATAAGACATAAAAAATTTGTAACGCGGTAAGACTTGTCAGAGATAAAAGTCTATTTTTGAGACAGACGTAACATTCTTTAATACTAAGGGTGTTCATAAGAAGTCAAAGAGTTTGACTTTTGTAGGACCTGTTTTTTGAGTTGGTGTGTGCATTCGAGTTCAAAATTTATCTAACCGGTGAGTTCAAGATTCACATCACTCCCGAGAAGAAAATTACTCAGTGTCACTACGTGTCAGTTCAAGTTCTCAAACACTGACATTAAGATCAACTCATTTGTATTGCTCAGACATTATCCTTTTCCTTTCCTCTTTGAGTTTGTGGGAGATTGTTAGGAAAATCAAAGATGAAAGCTTTGTTATGCGTTGGTCCACATCATACCTTGTCATTAGTATGACATTTTATGTGGTTGCCATCTTTCACTCAAAATGAGTGAATCTCATTTATTGAGAATGAGGTGTGTAGCATGTCTTTTGGACATTAGTGGCCAAGAAGTGAAGACTATATTACTATATATAGCATACTTCCTTTGTTCATTAGATACACACAAAAGCTTCTTCCTTCTTTCTATATAAGAATTAATATATATTATAATATATATAATATATATATAATTCGTGTCTGCCGGTTAAGGTCTGAGCAATAGTGAGGTTCGCCTATGTGATTGCTAGTGCAAGCTATCCGTAGTTGGTCTGTGTAGCCTGTCGAAAGCGTGTCTGGGTTCTATCTGCACCGTTACCGGGCAAATAACGCTTTTAAGGTAGTGTTATTGTAACACGACACAAATTTTCTTTCAACCATACACCAATAGTGTCCGTGCTTCTTAAAAGGCTTCCAGATCGCGCGTTGACGTTGCGATTTTCCCCAACATAGTGCACAGATGATAAGTTTACAATACACATACATCACATGAACACAAAGTGCACACTAGACCACGACGAGGTACACACATACAACAAAAATTCAACAGCGAAGACCAAGCGTGCAAATGCAAACTTATAAAGAACACAATGCACGTTAGTACATTGCCCGTGAGAACTAAACATAGATCAATCTCGTACCAATTGTCGGGTCATTCTTGTCGAAGGGGCAAATTATGTTGTGCATCCGTATGCACCACGATTGCAAAAACGACGTCGTTTTAATAAAACGCGCGTCTCCCCTTTAAAAAAAAAAAATCAGGTTCGATTCCCAGCAACAACATATGAACTAAAATTCCATAATCGATGAACTATAATTCCATAATCGATGAACTATAATTCCATAATCTAATCTATGAACTAAAAATTCCAGAATGAATGAACTAAAATTCCATAATCTATAAACTAAAATTTCAGAATCGATGAACTACAATTCCATAATCGATGAACTATAATTCCATAATCAATGAACTATAATTCCATAATCTATGAACTAAAATTTCAGAATGAATGAACAATATAATGTTATTGCTGGGAATCGAACCTGAATTTTTTTTAAAGGGGAGACGCGCATTTTTTAATAAAACGACGTCGTTTTGGCATCCATATGCACCATGCATGGTGCATACGGATGCACAGCATAACGATTGTGTCGAAGGAGCCAATTTGCGTTGGTTTTTGTAGTAGTCCACCACCCTTTCATGGTAGAGCACTAGAGCCGCAGCAGACCCACTGCCCTTTCTGCCGCAATTAGCCGGGAGGCCGGACCGAGAACTTTGTTCGACAACTACCTAAACATTGTTCTTCAAAAATTTATTTTTCTTAATTCAGTACTACAAAAAATGAAACTTCTAAAATCATACACAATATCCGTAAATTATATCAGAATTCTTAATGCAATACAATATTACTAATTCACTCATACATGTAAATAAATAATTCAACAAATCTAAAAATATTATGACCATATACGAACCCAAGATAATCAAATGCTCAAATTACTCTCTTTGTCTCATTTTATCTATTTTATTTACTATTTATTAATTAAACCAACTTGTCAACCTCGCTCAAGGGAAAGACGGGGGCACATGGGTGCTCACGGAAACAATGGAAAGTCTGATTTCTCTTCTAGCTCGCGACATGGGAGATGCTAGCATTTGTAGAATTAGATAGTTGAGGCCCAACCTCTCTTTCCTCGCAAATTATGCTGTGCAACCGAATGCACCATGCGTATGGTGCATTCGGTCCAAAACGACGTCGTTTTAGTTAAAAAACGTGCGTCCCACTTAAAGAAGAAATCAAGTTCGATTCCCGGCAATAGCATTTTTATATATCCATAAATTCATAACTATATATCCATAAATTCATAACTATATATCCACAGTGAATGAATGAAGTAAAAATTCACAACTATATATCCATAGTGAATGAATGAAGTAAAAATTCACAACTATATATCCATAGTGAATGAATGAAGTAAAAATCCACAATGAATGAACTAAATATCCACAATGATTGAACTAAATATCCACAATGAATGAACTAAATATCCATAAATTCATAACTATATATCCAGAAATTCATAACTATATATCCATAAATTCATAACTATATATCCACAGTGAATGAATGAAGTAAATATCTACAATGAATGAACTAAATATCCATAAATTCATAACTATATATCCAGAAATTCATAACTATATATCCACAATAATGCTATTGCCGAGAATCGAACCTGATTTTTTTTTTAAGTGGGACGCGCGTTTTTAGTCAAAACGATGTCGTTTTGCATCGTATGCACCATACGCATGGTGAATTCGGTTGCACAACATAACTATTGCTCTTTCCTCGCCAAAAAAAAAAATTTAATTAATTAAACCAAATCTTTCTTTTTGTTTATTTTCTTTAATATTTTTTTTATTTATTTTTAAATTTGATTTTTTTTTTTGTGTTTAATAGTACTTTTAATGTAGTTTCTAAATATATAAATTTTGTATACTAATACTAAACTTAATATTATGAAAAATCGAATTAAAAATAATTTCAGTCAAACCTTATTAGTCAAACCAAACAAACAAAAAGGAGACAAAGGGAGTAGTTCTTAGTTTTCATATGGTTTGATCTTGAATCTCTCTCCCCCACACACATAGAGTCAGACTACCGTGTGAGAACTTGTAGACAAATTCAAATCATTGATCTAGTAAATCTAATGGTTTAAAATAAAGAAAAAATTAAAAAAAAAAAGATAGATTGTTTTCATAAATATTACAAATTTCAAAAGTTTGTAATATTTATGAATATGATCCCGTTCTTTTTTTTTTTTTCTTTATTTGTTTTCCTATCCATCAGATATGGCAAATGGATGGTTTGGATTTGTCTACAGGCTCTAACTTAGGGAGTGGTTCTCATTGTTCTCATAATCAAATGAGAATAGAGTCTTCTTGTAAAAAGTGATGATTGATTTCACTCATCAATCAATGTTTATCAATGATTGAAAATTTTAGTTTAAAAAAAAAAAAAAAACGTCTCAATTTTATAATTATTTAAAAAAAATTTAAAAGCGAGATTCATTTTATAATTATTGCAAACTTAAAAATTTAGTAATAATAATATCTTAACTTTTCTCAATATGAAGAATGTGGATGTGTTCACATTTTTTTAGAGAGAAATGTTCTCAACCAAGTGAACCAACTAAACATTTAAATGTAATATATTATATAATTTTGTGACTTAACTAAATAATAAAATACAATTTGTATTCTATTTATTCTTTATTCCATTCTATGGAATCTTATTCTTATTTCCTTTTCCTCTATATTTCAATACGTGGATCAACGCCACATAAGTGTTTACTTCGTTTGAAGTAAGGGTATTTTGTAGGTAAAATGGGTAATGTTAATATGAAAATGTAATACTAATACTAAAATATATAATACTAATTAAAAATAAAAATTTTGTAATACTTAAGTATAATATTTTTGAATAAAAATTTTGTAATATTTTTACATTTTGATTTTAAAGTAGTATATTTTTTTCTCAAAGTATGATTAATATTACATTTTTCAATATAAATATTACATTTTCATTCGACTTATCTCACAGATAAGGATTTGTAAGACGGTCTCACAAGAGATTCACTCTATTTTGTATAACAAATAATTACAAAAAAAAAAAAAATTAATATTCATTGTATATAGTGTGAAGAGTTTATAATTATATGTTTGTAAATATTGTTTTGAAATGAATGGGTAATTTTATCAATAGAAAACAAAAAGGAATCTTTTAAAGAAATTTTAAATGATTTTTTAATTACACGGAGGGATATTCTTAAATTCTTGGTTTTATGGTATGGGTAGTTGTAGACTTGTAGTAGCTTATTAGCTTATATTCTCTGTCAATGTCTTCATTTTCTCAGGTAAATAATCATTAAAGTGTCTTTCAGATGATGAATTCTGAAAAGATCATCTCTCTTATTTTATTCATTCATTTTCATTTTCTTTAAATTGCGCAGAGAATTATCTTCTGTTAAATGGGGAAGAAACAACATTTGGATTGGACGACACGATCGATCATGTCCACAGGCAGCGAGCGAGTCTCACTCTTGAACAAAGAGGTTTTTTTTTTTTTTTTTTTTTTTTTTTTTTCTTTAATTATTTTTTTTATTCATTGCTGTTCATATGTCAACCTAGTTGTCTGAGTTCCTTTCATTTTGGTTCTTGCGCTCTATATTTTGATTATATGTGCAAATCATGTAATAGGATGTGTTTATCTTCTGCTAAGCGGAAAGATTATTTGTGACCTATTGGGTATGGCTTGAAATTTATGGTTTGATTTTACATTGAGTGAAAGCCTGATGGAGTTGCAGACTTGCAGTTTATAGTTTCAAATTTTATGATGCCTTTCTCTGTTAAGAAATAAACCTAGAGATAGCAAGGCAGGGGTTAGTAAAATTCTCAAATTTATGTTTTAGATGCTACAGAAATGTGATATATACTCAGTATTCACTCTAACCCTTTTGTTTTTCTTTGATCGATAGTGGCTTCCCTTCTCATATTACTTCCGTTATAGTTCAGCGAGTCTTCGATTCCTGAGAAATTGTAAGGTGTTCCTGTTCTTCATTTTGGAATAAGTTGTAGTGACTAGTGAGTGTGATTTGCATTTCTAGGCTAAGAAGAAGACAAGTGAGGATGGTTCCTCGAATGGTCCCGTGACAGACTTAGAGGATGGAAATGCAGTAGAGGTAATTGCTTTCTGTTTTATTTGTACTGCACTGTTATTGTGACTGTCACAATAGCTCATATAAGAAAAGAGTGCTCACTTTCTTTGCTTTTTGTGCAGGCTGCGAATGTTCGGTTTTCCAGAATATTCCTTCTAGTAAGTGGAAACCTAGGCCCGTTTACTAACGGAAACTGTTTTTTGTTTTCTAGTTTTTCAGTTTTTATTCTCTGTTTTCTGTTTAGAAAACTTGTTTACTAACACTTATTTTTTCAATTTTTTTTTTTTTTAGATTAACGTTATAAAATTAACAAAACTTTCATTTTGAGTGATTTTTAGACCTTATATTTAAAATATATTTGGTTTAAATAGAATAAATATAATTTTTACTTTTTAAGTCCAATATATGTAAGATTTTTACATTTGATATCTGAACCAAATTTATATCTGTATATAACATAACTAAAAATATATCCGAACCAATAACCTATTAAGCAATGCAAGTAGAAAAGATAGAAGATGGTGATAAGTAAAAGAAGATGATAATGAATGTAATCATAGTAATGAATAAATATATAAGTAGATAACGGTGAGAATGTGGTTATAGTGATATATAGCCAAATAGATGATAGATGATTCTGTTTTCTATTTAGAAAGCAGTTTTTAATAGTTATCCAACTGGAAAATTGTTCCCTGTTTTGAAAATGGAAAGCTGTGCTAGTAAACCTGTTTTATGTTTTTTGTTCTCCAATTCTTGGAAAAAAATTTCCAGTTAGTAAACGGGCCCTTGTTTATCAAATTCTGGAGTCTAGCTTTGTAGCTAAGTTTCTTTAAGTCATTTGCACTTTCTTTGTTTTCAATTTTGCAATAAACAGGCAAAGGAAGATGCGGGGAAGATAATTATTGCTACTGTTGCTCTGCTGATAGCATCAACCTCAAATCTTCTCATAGTAAGGCATTTCCCCTTGTTAATCTTAAGTTCGTTCAGTCCCCACTAAAGTGTGCCGTGTTATCAATGAACGCAAAAACAAGAAAAAAAAAAAAAAATTGAAACTTCTCTGCTAACTACATACCCAGTTTGCTCTCTACCTTAAAAGTGTCAAATTTCCCTTGCAGCCAAAATATGGTGGCACAATAATTGACATTGTATCAAGAGACACGAGGACTCCTGAGCAGCAAGCTGAAGCATTAGATGAAGTCAAAAACACTGTGCTGGCTATTGTCTTAATAGTTGTTATAGGGTATGAACATCTTCACTTCTCCCATTTAACATTTATGGGCATATAAGCAGATATAGTCGCCATCTATTAACTAACATTTAAATGTCATTTTCTGAGATAAGCAGATAAGCTTCCTTTTTCATACTCACAATACATAGTTAATACCATTCTCGTTTTACTCTGACAAGATTAATTTGTGTTGTATGATCATTGCTGCTTTTTTATAGTTTCTTATCCATTGGAATTTCCTTTCAGCTCGGTTTGCACTGCACTTCGGTCTTGGTTATTTTCTTCAGCCAGTGAAAGGGTTGTTGCTCGACTAAGGAAGAATTTGTTCAGTCACCTTATACAGCAAGTATGTTCCTTTGATTTTCTGATCAAGGCAACTTGAATATGATATACTAATGTCAAAAGACTATGGCAACCTCCTAAAAGAATTGTTTTTTATTAACGGTCCTTTTATACAGACTCTTCTTGAAGACCATGAAGGAAACTCCCTAAAAGGAGGATTTCATATTATAATTCTAATTGTTCACTGTAAGTTAATAGTTCAGCACAAAGTCTATTCTTACAATTAACTCTTCTGTAGGAAATAGCATTCTATGATGTTACTCGGACCGGTGAACTTCTGAGCAGACTATCAGAAGACACCCAAATCATAAAAAGCGCTGCAACCACTAATCTATCAGAGGCTCTACGGAATGTGACAACATCAATGATTGGAATTGGTTTCATGTTTTCATCATCATGGAAGCTGACATGTGAGTACTTCAGACGTTGTTCTGCAATAGTCAATTCATCAAGATAAGCCTATCCCCTTATTGGTGTGAATTGAAGCATGTGCTCCATCTCAACTAAAAGCCTAAGCTGATAGTTGGATTGCACATCTATGTTTATATATATTATCAACACGCCCCCAAACGTGTCCGGGCCGATTACTTTTGATGGGCTCCAAGCAACACGTGGACCATAGTCTCTTGATACCAAATTGAAGCATGTGCTCCATCTCAACTAAAAGCCTAAGCTGATAGTTGGATTGCACATTTATGTTTATATATATTATATGCTCAACTGGCCCTTTGCGATCATGTAGTGCTAGCCCTGGTAGTTGTTCCTGTCATTGCCATTGGAGTGCGTAAATTTGGGCGCTATTTACGTGATCTTTCACATGCTACTCAAGCAGCAGCAGCTGTAGCTGCCTCAATTGCAGAGGTAGGTATTTGTTTTGTGCACTTCAATCCCCTGTTATGCTGACAGCAAGTAGAGCATGCTTCGATTAATATGTAGGAGTCTTTTGGGGCCATCAGAACTGTGAGATCTTTTGCCAAAGAACAATATGCAGTCTCAGGATACTCAGAAAAGGTCGATGAGACACTGAAGTTAGGGCTTCGCCAAGCAGTGAGTTCACCCCCCACTTCCCTCTCTTTAAACACTCACAGCAATTTGGATAAGAAATGAAATTAATGATTCAAAGGATTAATTGCCTTGCTGTCATTTTATCTCAGAAAGTAGTTGGCCTATTTTTTGGAGGACTAAACGCTGCAACAACTTTATCAGTTATGATAGTGGTATTATATGGAGCTTACTTGACAATAACAGGCTCCATGACTGCAGGATCTCTTACTTCCTTCATTCTCTATAGCCTCACAGGTAATCTGTTTTTCTCAGATGTTTATATACCTTCAAACACGATAGATATACGTCTCACTAATCAAAAGTGGAAATTCGGCATTGCCAAAATATTGTGGTAAACTAACTTTATAACATGCCTTCATGACTCAAACCGTCAAATAGTTAATTTTTTCCCCAAACGATCAATGGTTTTAAGCCTGAAATGGTGTTTTGAGGTTATGGATAAAGTAACACCCGTAATGTCTATATTCCCCTGCAGTTGGGTCTTCTATATCTTCATTATCAGGACTATATACAACAGTAATGAAAGCTGCAGGAGCAAGTAGAAGAGTTTTCCAACTTCTTGATCGTGTATCAACCATGCCTAAATCTGGAGACAAATGCCCCGTAAAGTTAGTTTCTTTTCTTTCCCTCAAACACAACCCCCAGAGTCCATTAAGATATGGAACAAGTTATATACACCAGTGTCTGCCTTTGATGAGTGAAAGCTGTAATGCTTCTCTGATACTCTAAATATGGTTCCAGTGATCCAGATGGAGATGTAGAATTAGAAGATGTCTGGTTTGCATATCCATCTCGCCCAAATCATATGGTACTCAAGGTACGTATACTTCTTTAATTATTTTATTTATCACACTAATTTTTATTATTTTTTTTAAAAAGCAAATCTTTGTGGTAAATTAACAAATCATGAATTTTGTGCTTAATACTTGTGTGATCCTGTGTCCTTGAATTAACAGGGAATATCTCTAAAATTGCGACCGGGGTCAAAAGTTGCATTGGTTGGTCCAAGTGGAGGCGGAAAAGTATAACTTTTTAATTATCATATTTCTGTACTCGTTAATTGCCTGCTGTCCAAATTTCAATCTTATCAGATGATTAGATCCTTGAACAACCTCGTAGTTTGTTTGCAGACAACCATTGCCAACTTGATTGAGAGGTTCTATGACCCGTTAAAGGGACAAATATTGCTTAATGGCGTTCCTTTGATGGAAATATCACATGAATATTTACACAGCAAGGTGATCCAAACTTGTTAAAATTTTAATTTGTTAGATATTAATGTGCATATATAGCTTCTTCTAAATGATTAAATTATTTGTGTAGATTAGTATAGTAAGCCAGGAGCCTGTTCTTTTCAACTGTTCCATTCAAGAGAACATTGCATATGGTTTTGAAGGCAGCACCAGCAGTGATGTCGTAGAAAATGCAGCAGTAAGCTTCAGATTCCTTTTTAACATTTCTTGATCTGATTTCTTGTTTCTTCATATGACAACCGCTAATGCATTAAAGTGCTGCAGAAAATGGCGAACGCTCATGATTTCATTGAATCGTTTCCTGATAAATATCAAACTGTTGTTGGAGAACGCGGACTCAGGCTATCAGGAGGCCAGAAGCAACGAATAGCAATCGCTAGGGCTCTTTTGATGAATCCTAGAGTCCTGCTATTGGATGAAGCTACTAGCGCTCTAGACGCCGAGAGTGAATACCTAGTACAAGTGAGAATCATACTTCCGTATTCCTTGTGTGGCTTGGCTTTTACTTGTGCTCACCATTATAAGAGGGAATATATATGAATTTATAAGGTCATGGGTTAGACTAGCTAATTGATTGGATTCAGTCTTTTAGTGTGGTTTAACCCATATCCATTATAGCCGAATTAAGTGATCTTGGCCCAATCTTATATTATAACATGGTATCAGAGCCTGTTAAGTCCACTTCTTGGTTGTCTACCACATGGCCGTTAGACTAACCATGAATGGTGTTAGCGTCTTGAAGATTTGACTAACTGGCGAGTATGTTGTGTAGGACGCCATGGATTCTCTGATGAGAGGCAGGACAGTTCTTGTAATCGCCCACCGGCTATCAACCGTAAAAACTGCAGACACAGTTGCAGTGGTGTCTGATGGACAGATAGTAGAGAGTGGGACGCACAATGAACTTCTTGCCAAGGATGGCATTTACACTGCACTGGTCAGGAGGCAATTGCAGGCACCAAGAAATGAACTCTAAGATCAGTCACTTGAGTGGTTTGTTATTTGCTTTATCTATTCTAAAACTTTCATTTTGCTTGTGAGAATTGAAGGCTAACCAGATAAAATGTTGTTAGACAGAGCTTATGACTTATAGATTATGATTATGGATGGAGTTAACAATAAATTTAACTATTTTTGTATGATTATGGATTTTTTTATTTAATAAATTTAACTATTTTTCTTCTTCTTTTTGGTGACTTAATCTAAACTTATTTGTAGTATCTGTTCAACAACATAATATGATAACATCTTTGATTGGGATGAGACTCGAACCTGTGACCTTTCGTTTGGAAGTATTACAGTGAACTATTTTTCTTACAAGACAGAAATATATAATACCATAGAAATTTTGGAAATGAACATATTCTATATTTTATTTTTAGAATAGGGTTAATACCACCTGGGGCCTTTGATTATTGCGATTTACTTGTAAAGGTCATATGTTTAATTTTTTGTTTGATTTAGTACTGACTACTAATTAAAACCTTAAATTACTCTTCTGTTACATTTTACATTATGTCTTCTTCAAAACCAACGGTAAAATTGTTCTTTTATTTTGTTAGTGCTTATATATACCTTCCAACACTAAAATGGAAAACCCCTGACCAGCTTAGTAAATCGTGATAAGAGGATTTTGAATCAATTTTTTAGGAAGGAAGAGTGAGGTGGAAGAGAGAGTGGGAGAGAGATGAAATGGGTTACTCCGATAAACACTCCAAATTTTGCAGAATATGCGTGAGGCGCAACTCTCACATGCGCCAGCCTAGGCGTATAAATCAATCTAGCGCAACTCTCACATGCACCAGCCTAGGCGTATAAATCAATCTAATTTTTTTTTCAACTTTTAATTTTATTTTTTTTCTCTCTCTCTCATTTTCTCTTTTCTAATGACACATACAAAAGCTCTTTAAATACCAAACTAAAATCCCCTTCTATTGTGGGCGTCCTTTAACTCTTTGGAATATTAGTAGGTATTAGGTAGGATGGGACCCGCCGAAATAATAAAAGACTTTGATACTCATTATTACGTATTATTGTATTTGTTTGGTAGCTAGCTACCATTTTCCGGTCAAAGATTCATCCTCTGGAAGTAACGATGCCGGAGGTCCGGTACAGTTTCCCGTTTAAACGTCAGCTAGCCAGAAACCATACAACAAGGAGATGCAAAGACAACTGAAATAGACATACACGTTATGATTATATGTTATTCTAAATTTCTGATACATGAAAATGATTCAGTACAATATAAGAAATTAAACACAGAGCAAAGAAGCCATAGATATTTCACACAACAGCAGTTTGACATAGTCACTACTCGAGAATGTTTATTGAGTAAACTCCGACTTATAATTCTAGTCGATAAAGAATCTAGATGGTTCATAATTGATCGACATACTCAAATCAAGAGGTTGGGATTTGAACTCTTGATCTGACTGTAGCCATCTTGACTGGTTATTATTTTTTTAACCACTACCGCCGCCACAAGTCCGATGATACACGGCGCACTTCTTCTTCCCGTACTTCTGCTCGCCCAAGCAGCTATTGTGCACTGCTCCCTTACAAACTGGCTTTGGACCGAGCGCACTGTAAATAAGAGAATGGTGGTTGCCTGTTGCGCTCTCAAGAAGTCTGTTGTTGGTCTCGGAGTCCATCATCATAGGCTCTTCGCCGGTGACGCCACCGGCTGCAGCGGCGCACTCGGCAGCGCTGCGGCAGCTACCCATCATCACACTACTAATGGAAGCTGCGGCAGCTCCGGCGGCGGCGCGTGTGTATATGGTTGGGAGGAGTAGCAGCAAGAGGAGATTAGCAACAATGCTACAGTTGAGCAGGCTGTAGTAGTTACCCGCCGCCATGAACGCTTTTTTGCTTCTAGCTTATCTGTGCAATAACAACAATACCCCAGTGTGGTTTGTATATATATATTGGGAATTTTTTATTTTTTTATTACTAAAACTCATTATTGGTAGAGGCATGATTAGTCATGCACCGTGGTCTTTTAAAAAAAAAAAAATGAAAATAAACAGTGTTTGTTTTTCGCCGTTTCGCACCCTTTTGCAAAAAGTAATTCTGTTCTTCAGTGTCATTTTGTATACACTGCAGTGTCAGTTCAACACAACTACAGTTTCATTTCGATATAACGATAGTTTCATTCGATATTTATAGATTCAAATATGTGAAAATGTTATTTAATTTTATTTTATATACACTATAGTTTCATTAAAACACAACTACATGATCATTTTGATATAATTACAGCTTCATTGTACAATATACACTCAAATATGTGAAATGTTATTCAGTTTCATTTTATATACACTGCAGTTTCATTCCACTATAACTACAGTATCATTTTGATATAACTGCAGTGTCGGTTTAGATATACTGTAGTGTCAGTTGGTGTTTAATACACCAAACAAGCGGACTCCGTTAACTATAACAACGGGCCGTTTCTTTACTTAGAGAAACGGCGCCGTTTTGTGCACCGCGGACTATGATATAAGAACTGATTGGTAGATATATGGGCTACTTCAACTACCAAAACCAAAATGTAAACCCCCACCCCCCACACCAAAAAAAGAAAGAAGAAACGGTTAAAATATACCATTAAACATTATACAAAAAAATAATTAGACTTAGGATGAACTTTAAAAGTTTGTAAGTAAACAATCTAACTGATCATTTGATTACATTTGGACCCAATAACCAGTTATCTACATGAAATAGTCGGCCATTAGAGTTCCGACGAAGAAACTGGAGAATGATCACTGATCGCCATTGTCAAAAAACTATCACCGAAAAAGGCGACCAACGGTTGCTTTCTTCTTCAAGAAAGCAACTAGCCGGTTGACTTCTTGACTAAAGAAGGCGACCAGTTGATCACCTTTTTCAGTGAATGTTGACAACCTTGTTATCAATGACAACGTTCAACGAAGGCTAGATGCGGCCAATAGCAGCCAGCAACGGTCAACGACAATTATCATGCTATGTCATCATAATTTTATCGATCACCTATTGGTTACTGGTAAACAAGACTTATTTGATCACGTTTAATAAGTTGGAGTGTTTAGTTACAACTTTTTAAAATTTAGACGCCTAATTATTTTTTCGTATAAAATTCAGGACCTATTTGACCATTATTATTATTATTATTATTATTATTATTATTATTATCTATATTTTAATTTATCCATTATTTTCTAAAAAATATAATTATAAATTCTTTAATATTGGTAGATATAAGTTACTCCAACTGCCACAAACAAGAATTTATGAATGTCCTTCCATGTAATTGATAATTGGGTCCGTTCCACAGTTACTTCAACTATCTAAAAATGAAGAATTTATGAATAGGATTGCCCTTCCATGTAATTGAAGAATGGGTCTAGTCTGCACACACAACTTAAGCTACTATTTCAGTAGGCAGTATTTAAGGTAAAAGATCAATGTTCAAAACTCGACCCAGCGACAATATAATAATTATGTCAAAATCGAACACATTCTTTGTGCGCATTAGCGTTTGACTTTGTCTACTGAATTATTAAATTACCGTGATTTACATCGTTTGTGACGATTCAACCTTTAGGGGCAAAGAAAAATGTCTGTTCCCTAGCTACTTCAACTATCAAAAAAATAAGAATTTATGAATTAGAATTTAAAAATGTCCTTCCATGTAATTAAAAAATAGGTATGTTGGGGTAACCCAGGTGGTCATATTGTTGATTTGATAACCACAAAATTACAATTTCAACTTTCAGAAATAACAACGGTCAACTATGGGCGACCTAGATTGGGATTAGTTTACCTCCCTACGCTCCTTTATTGATTAGGATCGGAAAGCGTGGTGTATAAAATAATGAATAGTATTTAAAACTCATATCCTATTTACTATTCATAGTAGGTGGAATTTTTAAAACAAAATTTACAAGGAATATCTACGAAACAAATGTCACTTGTCATCTCTACACATTTGTCTACTCATGTAAATACGTGAACCAAACTATCTCATTTCCTTCCTATTGATACAATTCCACACCGACAACACCATTTAATAGGACACCTAACGCCGCACCCAGCACGGCTTCTGAGCTGATTTCCAACTATCTTTTTATAGTAGCATTTTAATTTCGTATTAGTATTGTGTATACCTAAGTAAAGTTTCACTTTTCTTTATAAGACCTAGTTCTGTTATTATTTTTAGCAACACGACCACCAAACAAGTTAAAGAATACAATACAGTATTCGCAAAGATACCAAGCAAAGAAAACGCTTGTTTCACATTCATACACTTATGATATTCATAATCTGGAAGTTCAGAGCAGCCAAGTCTAGATAGTAGTAAAGGAATCCCTTCAAATACAGTAATGATATTCAAATTCACTTGCCATTGCCATCGCCACCGAATAGGTAACCCAGGGAAGAGCCACCACCAGGTGCAGCTTGGACCTTGGTTGAGCGCCTTTCCTGCAATCATAGGAAAACTCATTTTGCTCAAATGGAGTTGGTTTAGAACTAGCAATAATAAGGACAAATGCCTGGTCCTGTTATCCAGTGTGGGTAAGGAAGAGTGGTTGGTTTTATCAGAAAATGAGCACAGGGCCATAGCCAAATTTAGAACAAAACTACCTATTCATGGATGGTATCTCAGCAATACAAGAGCGGGGAGATGAGGGGCATGGAAAGTATCTCATAATACCAGATCAGGAAAAGAGGGGTTGCTTTTGTCTATTGTAGAATAATAAAGAGGTGAAACACAAGTTAAGAACTGAAAACAAGAACTGCATATACCGTAAGAAAGTTGCCACAATTCTGACCATCTGCACGGGTATAGTTGTTTGCATTGCTGCTGAGAATGCCTGCAGGAACTTGCTTACTGGCATCAGCAGGTTGGGAAGCAGCAGCAGCAGCTGAAGGCTTGGGAGCAGGTGGATCATTTGAAACCTTTTCGGGGTTCTGAGCAGGTTGAGGCTTGTTAGGAGCCTCTCCACCTCCAAACAGATAACCCAATGAACTCTGCCCACCTCCAGCACTTACTCCACGACCCATCCTTGTATAATTGGTTTCTCAACAACACGAAAGAACTGCAAAGTTATTCAAAAACAGGAACAAAGCTAGGTAACTTTAACCACCAAATGAATAATAGCCCAGGCAATTGACTATTCAGTTGGAAATTGGAATCTAGTGGAAATTATCTGTGCAAAATACACACAACTATTTGTCAAACTCAACCCCCGAATCTTAAACCATGAGTAATCAAACCCCCCTAATGTTTAAGAAAGAATGAGCAAATCTAAACTCATATCATTGCACCAATAGCAGTGAAGGGACATCTTTGCTTTGTCTTACTGATTAGTCTGATTTTATATCTTAAATAAGAAGCAACATAGTAAATTTGCTTCCCACAGCCCCCAAAACATTATGAAAATAGTTCTGTACTAAAATTTACACTCACTTGTGTGGCTTTACAACCCTTTGATAAATTGTGAATTTGTAGATCCTAAAAGAATTTAATCAAATGAAACAGTCATTTCAATTTATACAAAATTGAATGTACCTAGCATCATCCGAGCTTTATCTATGCGGCCAAATTCATAATCATAATTTCAAGTACTAAAATATTTCGATTTAAGATGTAATTAAGTTCAGGCGTAGTGATGGGACCTAAGATTTTAACAATTGAACATTAATTCAAATAGGCATATGAGATTCGATACGGAAGATCGGCTAAATTCTCAAAATTTTTAACAAAAATCTCTTTTCAATCAACCGTTCATCACAGCACAAAAAGCAGAACCAGATCTAACATCAAAGCATATCTGCGAAAGATCTTCAACATTAACAAACGAAAATCCAGCAACGATGAGCGATGAAACATTTAAATAAATAAATAGACGAAAGTTAAAGTTCGAAAATGAAAGAGGAAATGTTAAATCATACAAAAGCATCAAAATCACAACATTAAATTTCATGCGAGAAAAAGAGAGAAGATTTCGGGATCGTACCGTTCAACACCGAAGCAGGTTTAGAGAGAGAGTGATTGAGAGAGCTATGAAGGGGGAAGAGCAATCAGCTTTAATTTTCAAGGCTTGTGAGAAACCGACAAACGGATGAACTAGATAAGTCCGCGTTTGGCGATAGCAAAGTAAATCAGCAACTCTTCAATTATAGTACTCCGTATTTCATTATTTCCTTCTCTTTATGTTGCCCTGTCCAAATGCGGCCTTACCTCGTGTGCGTGCTCTTAAGTCTTAATGTGTCACCTCAATCTTCGTAGCGATTGAGTCGATTTCGCATCTATTCAATGTCAAATCCATAATTTTTTTTAATTCAAATTTGAAAAAGGAGTTAACAACATCATTATTTTATGTTAATATTAAAAATAATTTATTGTGTACATTATGCACACTAATTATGTAACAGTTGTAACGGTGACAGATTTATATTTATATTCATGCAATGATACATTAAGTTTTACTGTTCTGGACTTATAATTACACAAGATTCACGCGGTGATACATTGAGTTTTACAACAATATATAGTTATATGTAATTAATTTTTGTGTTAAATTGAAATAACCCAAATCAAATTGAACAAAATTTCATAGAATTTTCCTTGTAACCCAAAATTTGTGTCAAATTTATTATAATTTGATTATTAGCATACCATTATCATGATTCAACCGCTAATAATACTATTGTCGAGATTATATGCAATTTTAGCATTGTTTATCGTTAATTATAAAATACCAAACTACATAAGTATATAACAAATTGAAATATTATGTAAAATATTTTGAGATGTACGGAAATGCTGTAGATGAACATATAAAAATTCCATTAATTGCTATCATCTCATGTAACATACTAACATGCATATTTGAAAAATAGAAAATTGCAGCTTCTTAAAGTCAGATACTTTGGGTTCTTTGTCAAATGCTATCCAGTAACACAGGCAAAGCGGCAAACCCTTTTAGTTCAGTAGTGTCTGCCCAATCAAACGCCAATTCTCCTTCTTTCCCTTTGGTTCATTCGAATCCTTGTTTTGCTCAAACTCAAAGCAGTGAAGAACAAATGAAAAATCACAAACTAAATACACCATAGAAGATTTAGTAATGGAGGAAACTAATGTTACAAGTTCTTCATACCCTCGACACAGGCATCTGATATTCATTAGTGTTTGCCCTCTGGAGTAGCGAACCTCATCACAGGCTGCTGCTTTCCATCTGGTATCGCGAAGAGAACAATGGGCTGTGTTGGGTTGACAAAGGGAACATCACATCTGAAGTAGCCTTTTCTCTCCAGCTGCAATATATCACCTCTCTTCACGTCCCTCATGTTTGAATCCCCAATCGCACAAGTCTCCTTTTTTGTGCAGGGGTTGACAACATCAATGAAGTCTTCATTTTCCTCGAGCTGCAAGAGGGCACATTTTATTTCTCAGTCTCAGAGTAATCCAGGGAAACAAGAAACTTCTCTCACTTAACTCAAACATTGCTTTTACGGCCACTCACTATGGCTGAGTGATCCATCCCCAAATTAGTTACCCTCCCCAACACAAAAGGGCACCAGAAAACACGAAAGTTCTACACCCACATCATCCATTGCCTAGATGCCAAAAAAATCTAGTTGATCATCACTGATAACCCCCCAGGTTCCACAAAAGTGGAACCAAGTATAACACAAATATTAACTAGTTGACCAATAGGGTGCTATTAGAAACTAAGGAGTAATTTCTTTCTCCATGGAAAAATAGTTTAGAACTCTTCACTAAATTTTCTTCATCCAGCTTATGACAATGAAACATTTTGTTCTCAAACCTAGAGAACATTTTCCAATGTATTCTGGTGGGATGATATATGCAAATATGTGCAAGTTCACCAACCAAACCAAAAAGAAACAAATGAATAGCAGCTAGTTATCCAATAATCCCTTCTCTGAAATGGAAAAAACTATGTATAAATGTAAGTAAAGAATCATACCTTCTTTTTGGTGATTAAGTAGTCAAAATCAACCAAAGAGAGCTTCACAAGTTCATCCGTATCAGGAAGCCAAGTGAGCTTCAATTTGGTAGTCTTGACAGAGCCTTCAAGATGTAATACCCCAGTCAAATTTATAATATTCCCCTGCTGGTCTTTTTCTATATCCTTCACTATAGAGTTACCCCAATCCATTAAAGTGACTTCCTCATCAATGGAAATCAACTCTGCATCGGCATAGTCAATCCAAACTCTCTTTGTGTAAGTGGTCACCTTTTGCCCAGCAGCTTCATATTTCTTGTGCTTCGGTATGGTACGCGTGAATGGATCCTCTGGGCCATTACTCAAAGTCAATAAGACACGTTTTTCTTCTATAACAGCAGTATGCCGGGGACACACAGGATCAATTATCTTCTTATTAATGGCCCATAGCTTGTCCCACTCCATGAGATTCAAATTCTTTGAGGCTCCCTAATAATAATCAGGTAGAATCTTTACTAAGTTTCAACATACAAATCAAAAATTCAGGTGCTTTATGACATATCACTTGCATGTAATAACAAGTTCAACAGGACATTGATCAGAAACACAAATTTATCTAGAATATAAATAGACAAAAAAACAAGTTAAGGCATCCATCTCCATTCCCCAGTGGGAAAAAAAAAATCCAACCCAAATTCATGAGATAAATTGAGATTTGCTTTCCTTCCTGCATTTATGCAAATTAATGTAAAGTAGAATACCAGAACATTCAAAACATCTTACTTGTTCAAGTATGAACTGTATCAATGCCTCAATCTTCAATCCTCTCCGCACTATTCCTTGCACAGTCGGAAAACGTGGGTCATCCCACCCTTCAACCAGACCATTTTTAACAAACCAGAGCAGCTTCCGCTTACTAAGAAGTGTATAGACCAAATTCAGCCGACTAAACTCGTATATATGAACTTTTTTGAACCCCATATCAGTTTGTATCCGATAGTACTGATCATTGCGATCATGATACTCACTAGACCTAAGTGCATGTGTTATACCTTCAACAGCATCAACGAAGGGGCAAGCAAAATCATAAGTTGGGTATAGTTTATATGCGGAACCAATCCTGTGGTGAGCCGTGTCATTGCAGCGGTAATATACTGGATCTCTAAGTGACTTGTTAGGATCCTGCATATCCAACTTCCCTCTAAGACAACACATCTTGCCCCTTTCAGAACCCGCAATCATTTCCTTCCATAATTTCAAGTTTTCCTCGACAGTGTTGTTCCTACACCTTGATTCTATACCATTCATTCTTTCCTCCCTCATCTGTTCTCGTGCTGTATCATCAACATATGCCTTCCCCTCTAGAATCAATTTTTCTGCCATCTCCATCAACTGAGGAAAGTAGTCTGACGTGTATGTTACAGCTTTGTATTTAATTCCCAGAGTCTCAATATCTTTCAATAGATTATCCACAAACTCGTTGCTCTCTTTATCAGGATTAGTATCATCAAAGCGCAAAATGACTTCACCTTTATACCGCTCAGCAAAATACTGGTTTAGAAGTGCAGCTTTAGAGTGCCCAATATGAAGAAATCCACTAGGCTCAGGTGCAAACCGTACCCGTACCTTGCCAACCTCAGCATCTGGAAGATCTACCTCAAATGTAGCAGTAGCAGGATTAGCATTTGAAACTTGGTGTTCATTTACTTTGGTTGCTGCCTTTGCAGAGCTCTTTTTCCCAATATATGTTGTGATGACTTCACCCAGTTCAGCTTCATATGCTTCAAATATTGAGTTGAACCACCTTACCAGATTTTGGAATTTCTTTGATCTTCTGAGGCTTTCCCATCTCGGCCCAGCTCCTGTAAAGATTGGATTCCTAAATATTGATCAAAGTAAATATAGACTGGACCTCAAGGCATAAGATTGTATAGCCTGTTAAGGTACACAAATTACAGGAAACTACTCCAAAAGAAAATCACATTCAAATGTTCAATTTAGCTCTACTTTCTGGAGGCTGGGGCTGAACAACCACTCCCAGGAAAAAGAAAAAAAAAATTAAGTAAAGAGGGGGAAGGAGGCCTTCAGACCAATCAATCATATTGGAGCAAGGACATGAAAATAAATAAACAGAAGCAAGCTCTGCATCCATGCCTCCTTAACTTCTAAGCAATCCACCTATAGTATCTTAGCATGGTCCATAATGACTTTCACTATGACCAGCTTAACTTAGTATACAGTCAAATCTAACAATCAACTAGCAAGCTAGGTCAGGAAAATACCAATACGTTATTTTTAAAAAAAAATCAAGAAAATTATCCATGCATATTGGAAATTAAATGAGTCAAGTCCAGGCATTTACCTGCAAGACCAGACCAGACAGCAATATCTGCAATTGAAAGGCTGTTCCCAACCAAAAATGTGCGGTGAAGCAGAAATTGATCCACATAACCACATGCAGCCTGAAATTCAGAGCCAGATGCAAAAATAGGAGCATACTCTAGCCATTCATCTATCTACAAGAACAAAAAAGGATCACAATATTACAACAAAATCTAGAAAGATAAGTGCATTGCCCAGATACCAAAAACATTGCTCAAAGACAATGTTTTGAACTTCAATGAGTTACAAATTCCACCTGGCTAGACTCAAAGGAATCCCGCTGGTAGAATTCTGGAATCCTTGCTACACGACCAATATACCTTAAGAGAACAAAAGTTCCCTGCAACTTTGATCTGTACATTACACTTAGTTAGCATTGGGATGAGACAAACAAAAGTTCAAGGAAATTATAGGACTGCCATTTATTTATCATTTGCTGGACCATTAAGCTCATCTTACCCAAAAACTATCATAACCAAGTCATGCTGTGACACCTAACATATGCTTTTTATAGGTAACTGAAAACTATACTATGCTGTAATGTGTGTGTGTGTGTGTATTTTCAAATCTATTACATTCACAGCTCAGTTTTTTTAAAATATACATATCTTGATCACAAGAATGCATGTACACACTTAATATTAGCTTCCTATAAAAAATGTCAACAAGTACATTGTGCAAACTTTTGCTTAAGAAAAACAAAAAGAAGCTAGTTACTTCATCATTATAAAGCTCACACTAGACAATTAGAAATTGAATTACAGGCAAAT